GATGTTATGGACCATTGGAAAAGGCGAGTGTTAAACGGTCAAACGGTTAATAAATATTCTTTATCAATGTGAATTTGCAGGATCAAATTTTTCACGACACCAATCATAATTAAGCACGCTTGTGGCCCAAACCTCTCGCCCTCTTCCGCCCCTCTCGCCCCTCTCGCCCCTTACGATAACGATGTTCACAGTATATCGTGGATAATCGTGGCCTTGAAGTGTCGATAGGTCAGAATATTATACCCAGCAACCCGGTGATCTTTTTCTACAAGTAAAAATTCGTAACTCATTAGCCATCCCGAGGAATAATTGGCAGTGATATATAGTGCGTGGCCATTTTGTAGTTTACAGCGTATAACGGTTGGGAGTAGGCCGTAACGATGCCATCTCCAGAGCGTGAAAAATAAGGATAAGAATCTAGGGGGCCGCGGGAGCAATTATCATTTACGCGGGAAACTCCATCGTTGTAAAGTAATGAGCGGTACTGCGTAGCGCGAACATTGCTACGCCTCCTTGTTTATTATTAATTAATTCGATTTTCGCGGAATTGACGTTTGAAGGACGACGAATAGCTCGCAATAGCCATTGCCTTCGACGAAATGAAGCGATCCCCCAGCCTCTTTTACCAATGCAGCATTCGTCGTTATGATGTAATGCTATGGTGCTTAAGCCCCCCCCCCCACCCACCCACCCCCCACGACCCATTAATCACATCGCCTTTATTTTACGTTCTCGGTTACAATTGAGACGTGGATAAACTCTTTCCCACTCTGTCTACGCTATATCTATATCTGTACGCTATATCGAGCGTTATTTCCATTCGTTCCATTAATTCCATAAATTACGAATATTTATTGTTTAATCAGCGTCACTAAGACTATCGATCGTTCAAAAAATCTTCAAGATCTCACGAACTTTATCGAATAATTTGAGACTCGTTGAGCAGCGATGATCGAGCGTTACATTGGCCTACGCATCTTATTAAATTAATTGAATAAATGGCAAAGGCTGATATTTATTATATTATTATTTGGTCGCAAAACAAGTCGCGAAATTGAAAATCCACGCGCTGCTTCGAGGGAGCGATTGATACAGCGACTGACTGTGCGAAAAGGCAGGGACGCGATTATCGGACGTCTCGCTAGATAAGGTCGATTGGACAAGGGGTGGGCGGAGAGGAGGATAACGAACAAGGGGAAACAGCTCGCGTAGAGACGTCGTATTCGAGGAGGTCACCTGCGAATATTCCAAGTCTCATAATCAACAAGAGATAATCAACACGCCGATATGTCGCGGTGTTATAAAGGCTATCGGCGTGGGACGGGGGAGATGATTAAACCGATGGGGCCCATGTTTTCTCAAGGGAGCGCAAAACTCGGCTTTCGCTCGGGCGCGAATCGTCGTGCGTCGTGCGCGATGACGCGCAAAAAATCCATGCTCGTACGCGACCAATTAACCCCGGCTCGCTCGACGTCCACACTCGCTCGCACTCTTTTTTCTCCTGAAACGGAGCCTAGTTTCAAGGCTCGATGCCACGAAGCCGATGCGCCTAGGATATTTAATTGTTAATGAGCGCCTTTTGAGGATCGCGCGCCGATAAGTCGAGGCAACGTTGCGTTTGACACACGTACAGAGAGAAAGAGAGAAAGAGAGAGAGAGAGAGAGAGCCGCGAAGACACGCTCTAATGGCAGTCCCTCGCGTAATCTTGCTTTCCCAAAATGTCCTACTCGCAGCTGCAAAGACCCGCGACTTTTTCGCACACACTCTTGCGCGCTCGCGTATTATATTATATTCGGCCTCCCACCAACCAACCCGTGACTTCATTCCCATGGAATGCTGATGCACTTTAAAACGGTCCTCCTCTCCTCTCCATCCGCTTTTATTTTATGCAGGCGTAAGTGTGGATCCTCCTCCCTCTCTATCCCTGTCTCCTTATGTCCTCGGCTCGCCTACCGTACATGGAGCACTCGCCAAAAACTTGGGATATATTAAGTATATTCTCCTTCTCTTTTTTCCTGCCTTTTATCAGCCCTTTCAACTCGCTTCTTCTTAATAATTTCGTTTAATCGTCCTGTTAAATTCACTGTTAATCCATTATAAAATCGTCCAATGCATTTATCACGTGCAATTAATTGATGCTCGATCGACGACAAGCAATTATTATATTTAACATTAAGAAGAATTTATTCCGCAAACCATAAATGTAAATGTAAATGTACATTACGTTAGAAATTTTTTGTGTAAAGTTTTTTTTAATTTATATCTTACAATAATTATATCATTGCGCTTTATCATTCAATTAAATACGTCGTCGCGTAATACTTTATAAGTATTTTTAAACCTAAGCATATTGCAAAATAGAATTGTAACTAAATTGTAAAATCTCAGTAAGATGAAAAAGATCTCAGTGAAAGTGCTATAATAAAATCAAGACTATAAAGTGACGCCTAACACGGAAATATAATTTTTAATAATCCAATATAATGCAAAAAAAAAAAAAAAAGAAAAAAGAAAAGAAACAAGAAAGATAAATGAGATACAATTCGCGATTGTAAAGTCTGCATTTTGTATATTCGTTTGCATTGTAAAATGTGCTTAAAACAAAGAAATAAAAACAGAGACAAAACAGACGAGGCCGGTTGCAATATTCTATGTAATTACTTTTTTTCTTGGACAGATAGTTTTCGAGGGCTTTTTCTTACAATTCTTATGAGCTTATACGCTGCTGAGCAGAAAATTTTAATTGCAAGGAAGTGAAATTTACTCTTAAGAGCTGGTAATTTGCGCTAATGTTGAGTATGCAACATGTCCATTCACCAAACTTTAATTTTCCTTAGTTGTTTTTCTAACATTTCGCTAATTTATTCGTTAAAATAAATCCACTCTAACCTACTTGATTAATAATTACTATGATGCTTTTTGTGTAATTAATTCCTGAGTATTTAATAAACATGAAGTAAACGTCTTACGAGGATATTTGTCAAGTTTTCGTTTGTATAATAATTGTAATATTAATATATCTAGTTTTTGTCTTAGCTATTATATTATTTGTATTCTATATATATATATATATATATATATATATATATATCGTAATTTAAAGAAAATAAACATCTTTTTTTATTTATCAACGACTGCTTTACGCACAAATTAATTGTGTAATTGAAACCATGAAATCGATGCCTATTCTGTTATCGATTTAAAAATACGTTTATGTAGTTTTGAATTTGTAAAAAGCTTATAAAATGACTAAATTTATCTTTATTATTCCACAATTGATAATTACGAATATCACCTCGGTTAAGAAAGTAATTACTTTGTATTTTTTTTTTAATTACAAATTACTTTGCAAGAATAAATAATAGAAGAAAAAAGCTCTTGAGATTGTTCATTTTAATTATTTTCATTGAACGATAATCCGATATCCTTGAACTTCACTTTGTAGATAAAGAAATGTGTCATTTCCTAAAACATATATACGTATGTATGCATAAATTATAACATAATTACATATCATTTTCTCTCTCTCTCTCTCTCTCTCGCTCGCTCGCACACACACACATACACACACACACACACACACACACACACACACACTCACTCACTTCTATTGTCAATTTTAAGCAAATTCGCCTTTTCTGTTTCATTGTATGCTTAATGTTGGGGCCTCCTCCACTCGTAATAACCAAAGCGTTTCATGAGTCATCGTTGCCTCGAACCGAATATGAATATTCTTTAAATTAGCTTGAGCTTAATTTCGCATTTAAGCGGCTTTTGCATTTCATGAAAAACAAAATTAATCTGACGATTTGCAGCAAATTTTCTTTTAAAATTCCGAAAGATAATGAAAAACCATTTCAGCCCTACAGCCGCTTCTATCATAAATGAAACGAATGTCTCTCTCTCTCTCTCTCTATCTATCTATCTATCTATCTATCTAATATCAGCCATTCCTTTACGTCCTGCTAAACTCCTGCGCTAAACTGTTTTTCAACATTATCTTGTGTCGCGGATAGATTTTCCACTTGCGACGAAAGATGCAAATAATGAGAGCAAAGAAGAAGAACGTGACAAACGGGTGCTTAACGATCGACAGGCGTTCGCGAGAACAATCCTTCGACTACGTAATCAAAACGCTGCTCCTCTTAATGAAATAATTTGAGATTCGAACCAGCCAGGACAATTATAAAGAAACGGCGAAAAATCGTAATGGCCGCGAAATAAGGCAAAGAATATAAAGCGGAAACGTTTCGGCCGTCATTGTTGTGGTGGTAGGTAGAGCAAGTGCCGTTACTCGTCCGGAATTCGCAACGTCGACTTCCGCCTCTTCTCTTCCCCGTTTTCTCTCTTTCCCCGCCCGATTATGTTCCCCCTTTTTTTTCCTTACGTCCCCTCTTTTGCTTTTTTTTTTTCTTTATCTCTCTCTCTCTCTCTCTCTCTCTCTCTTTCTTTTCTATACGTCACGTCTGTTTTGCTCGCGATGCACTGTTGCGTTCGACGTGCGATTACAATTAAATCGCCATGACGCGACGGATGCACCGTGATCCTGCGATAATTGTTATTTCATTGTGAAATTAGGATATGCTTTCGCTTCGATAATTTTCGACGCGTGGATTATTTGCTTCTCCGCAACAAGCTTTTATTAAAGTATTTATTAATGTATAAATTGTAGTGTACGTGTATAAATTGTTATCTATTTATATTGTGACTTTTCGATTCTTCTTTCTAATATATTACAATTTACAATTTACAAAACTGAATTCCCGTATGCAACAGTTGTAGAGGAAAGCAGCGACCGTCGATGCATATTAACAATTATCGGATATATTAGTAAGCGGTCTGAGTATTATTATAACAAAATTATAGCAAATAACATGTATCAGAAGCTTCTGATGGTGTGTGGGGACGCGAGCAGCAGAGGAGCATCATCGTTATGGAGGAAATTAGGGAATAAACCTTTCTTTCTTTTACATTTCAGAGTTTAAAGGAGAATAAAAAACAAAAACAAAAAAAAAACAAAAATACAGCCAGCATGTCGGACCCAGTGAGCCCGTCTCTCAAGAACCTTCCCAAGGTTGCTGTTGACCTGAAGAGCGAGCTCGAAGGTTTTAATTATAGTTGCATGAAGAAGGCCGAGACCGCGGAAAAGAACGTCCTGCCATCGGCTGGAGGTAATGCGAAGCGTCGACTATATTTAACGCCAATTTCATTAATCGATTCGATTGCAATTGACTATTACGCTTTCTTCAAATAATGCGCCATGTGAAAGGATGCAACTCGCCTATATATATATGTTTTTTTTTTTTTTGCTAAAAGTGAACTTTTCAGCTCGAATATCAATAACAAAATTTCAATTAAATTCAATAATAAAAATAAAATAAAAAAAAAAAAAAAAACTAGATTGACGTTCACCCGTATATTAAAAATATTAGATATTTACGTGCTAATTGTTGTGAGCGACATGAGCAATTATATTTTTGAGATATTCAAGAAAAATTGTGCCGGTAATGTCGATGATTTAAGCTTTTTAAGATTTCTGAGCTTTTGATTCGCGGTCACTCTTTAAACATTTTTGGATTATACAATATTCGTTATATTTCAAATTAAATATAATATATTGCTAAATAAAAAGTGAAATATATATACAGCACACATAATTTTTAGAATGTTTGTTGTTACAATCAATCGTTTGTAATGAGTGATAAAATTTTAATTTACACGGTAAAAATGAGTAAAAGTTCGTTAGGCTTATTCTATTAAAAATAAAAGCCTGTACTTTTATTAAGATTTATTAATAACTAAATTGATAAAATATGATGATCGTAGACGTTGCCGCAGAAAGAGCTCAGCAAACATTAATTGCTGGCATTGAACACTTTGACACATCGAGACTGAAGCACACAGAGACGAACGAGAAGAATCCTCTTCCAGACAAAGATGGTACGAATAAATGTTATTTTTATATTAAATGTAAAACTTTCCAAGTATAATAAATTTTATTTATTTTTAGCTATCCAGCAAGAGAAGGGAAAGCAGCAACTTATTTCTGGAATCGAGAACTTTGATCCTGCCAAGCTGAAGCACGCAGAAACGCTCGAAAAAAATCCATTGCCTACCAAAGAAGGTGCAAAAGTTATTAATTTTCAACAATATTTATCTTTTTTTTTTTTTTTTTTTTTTTTTTTTTTTTTTAAATAATCTCATAAAATCTCATTCACATGTAAATGAACATGAATTAACTACAGGCAAATTTTTAGCTTTTACGCCAGTGTTCTATAAAATAAAAAAAAATAATAATAATAAAAAAGAAAAAAAAGAAAAAAAAAATAAGAAAAAAAAGGAAAAAAAAAAATAAGAAAAAGGAAAAAAAAGATTTATAATGGTACGAATGCTTTTAATGCAGCCAATACATTTTCCAAGATGTAATCATCTCTAATTTGAATAATTTGTAAAGAAAAATGAGATAAATTTACAATAGTTATTTTTTATTTTATTATTAGCCACGTATTCTTTCAAATATTTTTGCTTTTCAAACGGATATAATTTTCACTGTCGATACATTGAAAATATATGGATTTGTAGTAAAATAAAAATCTTAGATAGTACATATGTTAACGTTTACCAGCTGTCATTATAATAGATTATTCAAGAATTATGTGGTAAAGCCATTATAAAAGTATCAAAATTGAAATATCACGGTACTTGCTCGGTACCACAGAAGACTATTTTTTTCTTAGTCGTGAAAAAAAAAATGTCAAAATTCAACATGAGATAAGATAATGTTTGTTTGTTTGTTTTTTTTTTTTTTTTTTTTTTTTTTTTTTTTTTTTTTTTTTTTTGTTACATCTATCGTTATAATCGTAAATAATTCTTCATTAAAATCCATGAAGATTCAACGAATATTTTTGTTTTTTGTCCATTAATGTCAATTTTAATTATTGTAAATCATAATAATACTACAAGTAATGTATAAATAATATACGCATATTAATTTTTGTTTTAGCGATTGCCGCAGAAAAGATATCTGCATAAAACGCCATCGGGAAGCAAAAATGAAGAAAAAATTGTGATGCAGTGATCTGCAAATTTTTTCACGCTCTATATAATTAATATTTTCTAATTACCGATATCTTATGGAGAACGACGATGTCAATACAAGAAAAAAAATCTTATTAATGTAATCTCATAGACTATATGTACTCTGTCGCTCGCATATCATGCTTTTTCTTTAAAAAAAAAAAAAAAAAAAAAAAAAAAAAAAAAAAACTCTCTCTCGACTGTCCTAAGAAAAACGCCACATGTTTCGTGTCTTCTTTGTCTGACTGTTCCAAAGGCGTTTCTAATTAATAATATACATAGCATTCATTCGCCCGTCACTAATTTCACGTATTTTATATTTTAACCGAAAAACAAAACGAAAAAATGAGGAAATAGAAGGAAATTGTAACTCCTTTATACATTTTTTTTACTATAAAACTGTAAATCGGAGGTGAGAATTTCGATCTCACCATACTAATTTTTAATGAGTATATGTACGTCGTGAAAAATCCAGCTTCTACATAAAAAAAAATGTTATTTTTCATGGCATCGGCCACATTTGTACTCTTGTATTGATAACCCAAGCTTTAGCATATGACACAATAATTAATTATAAAAGGCCCAGTGGCAGAAATATTTGTGTAAAAATAATATTTTATATATCGGGCTATTGTACTTTTTTAATAATCGTAAACTTTGCATTTTCATAAAATTATGATGAAATAAAAATTTATTTGTACGAATTTTGTCTATAATATATCTTCCTTACCTCTATATCATATAATCATCATAAAAAATTATCTAAAAGTCAATTGGTGAAAGGCGATTAACGGCAAATAATATTCAAGAAATAATAATCAATAAATTAAATAAATTGAATGTGCTTAGTATTTTGCAGTAAGTAAGGCTATTATGAAGAAAAAAAAATTACATTGCTTCAATGAAGAAAATATTGCAAGTACAAATTAGAATTAAAAAAAAAAAAATAAAATAAAATAATAAGCAATTATAATCCGTAGAAAAATTTATAGAAATTATTGAATAATTGCAACCTTTGTTATGTCCTACTAGTGAGAGAGACAAATTTTTAATTAAAAACTCATGATGAATGATTCACAATTCCATAGCTTTCTATGAATTATTTGCATTATTTGCATTATTTAGAGAATCACCATGAATTATTTACGGCTGCTCTCTACTCTTCATTTTATCATCTGCATATCATTCCACATAGTATCATTATTTATTTTTAACTAAAGTATTGATAATATGTTAATTGTTTGTTAAAATTATTCGTGAAAATCGATTAAAGTTTCGAAACGCTAATGCTTTCAATGAGTTTCTATTAAAAAAAACTTTTAAAAGTGCTGTTACTTTTGTATTATTTAATTACCAGAAGAGTTTAGAAGAAATTTAGAGAAACGATGAAGACCGCTACTTAATTAACAATTTGGTAAATTTTTATTGCAAACAGACTGAAAATGTCTAATTTTGTCTTATGAATAATTATTTCCAACTTAAAAAAAAGTAAAAGAAAGAAAAAGAGTAATAAAGGCAATTATTGTTTATAGTAAAGCATAAAATTGTAAATAAATTAACAAATTGCTTTTCATTCGGTATTATTAAGTCATGTGCAATAATTGCTTCTGCCAATTTCACAAAATTATATAATTTAATTTTCAAGAAAACGCTTTATGATCTCAATCATTAAAGAATTCTGCCTTATGCATTGGTATTGTCCAATTTGTCGTAAAAATACTGATTAAATATTTTATCATTATTGCTTTAATATGGAAGCTTTATGAAAATAAAGTTGCGAATAATGTATAATAATATGAGAAATTATTTTTGAAAAATCAAAAATTTTCTTAAATAATTCGATTTCGTATAATAAATTATAAAATAACAATAAAATTAAGCTGAAAATCATTAAAATAAAAATACATCAGAATGCATTTATTTAAATATGATTAAACATTAGTTAGAAAGCCAAAGAGTGCAAATATTTTATTTTATTAATAATTTTATTCTAATAAAATAGCCTATCACGTCTAATCAACATTTTTCTTTTCAATATTCGACTCGATTATTATGAACGAATAAGAAAACTCGTCAAATACCTATGCAAACGCGATTCAATTATTTTGTTATTACATTTCAAATAAGATTCAATAATCGTTCGATTTACAATTTAATCGAAGCATTTTTGTAAAAACAAAAACAAAAAACAAAAACAAAAAACAAAAGACAAAAAACAAAAAACAACACATAACTCAAAAGTGAATTTTTTTAAACTTTTTTTAAATAAATAAGTGTATCTGCAAACAATGCTATATCATTTGCTTAAGGATTTATTTAACAAAATGTAATTCACGATAATTTGCAATTTCGCAAATTTTGTAATTTACAAATTGTAATGAAACGCATTTCTTCGCAGTCAATAAATGAACAAACGATATTTTTACAATGGACTCTGTACCGGTAAAAATATTTAAAATATAGAACGAAATATGATTCGTACTAATTTATTCTCCTACATATCACTCGAAATTTTTAATATTTTTACAAAGTTTTGAATGTATAATTGTAATTACAGATGAGTGCACTTAAATAATTAATACTTTTGTTCATAGTGGAGATCAATTTTTTTTTTTTTTTTTTTTTTTTTTTTTTTTTTTTTTTTATTTCTTCTTATCTGTTTATTATCTGCTTGTGTTAATTTAACGTTGCTATTTAGAATCATTACGAACAAAATTTAGATCCTTTTTTTTTTCGTTTTTCAAAAGTGCATAAAAGAGAAATCTCTGAAAAAGAATTTACACATTTCGATATAAATGCCAAATTTTTTTTTTTTTTTTGATGCTCATTGCAATTTAACATCAATGAAATTATTGATATATTTATATACTAACTACATATTAATTGCAATTACGGGCTTTACAAACATAATTCTTTGAAATTTGTATAATTATGTTTTTTTCCCATAGTGATTTAGCTAATAATCCCACTATATATAATTCGGTATTCCCTTAATCATCATTTATTCTCACTTATTATTAGTCTTAAAAGAAAATCTAAGAAATCAAAGAAGATATTTTGAAGAATTAATTTTTTATATATATATATATATATATATTTTTTTTTTTTTTTTTTTTTTTTTTTTAATACGAGTCTCCGAGCGTAACACGTTAATATGACGAAGAAGAGAAAAATAAATAACAATTCATAGGAAAAGATGTTATTATTTACAATTTTAATTGAAAGTCCATTTGATTATTGTTTGTTGAATTTTCTTTAATCTCTAACTCCTCCTGCTTTATTATTCGTTTTACAAAAAAATTATAAGTGTGACATTGAATCGCCATTCAATAACGTGTAGCTTCTATTTAATATTTTGGTTAAGCGCTTTAAATTACAAAAACAAGCTTTTCCTCCAATTAAACATAAAGCAATTGAAACTTTTTCTATTTACGAATTAATTATCAAATATCACAATTTGTCGAGCGACAAATTTATTAAGCAATAATTTTACGTCTCGATTAACACGATTAATTACTTGACTTACTTTCTCATTTGCTCACTCACGGATTATTATAAAACTTAATTGTTCACGAATAAAACCAAAATGAAAAAGAAAAATAAAAGGAAAACGACAAACACCTACGAGAGTACCTCGAATTTGGTAATGCAATGTCGTATAATTTGGATAGAAAATGTGTAAAATTGGTGGTGGTGAAGATGTAAAAAAAAAAGCAAAAGCAAAAGCAAAAGCAAAAAGCTGAAAAAAAAAAGAAAAAGCACGTAGCTTCGTAGTTGGCGTTCGACTAAGAAAACGAATGATTTTTTAATAAAATTTTTAATCTACATCGATGGAAGGAAAGCCACTATAAAATAATGTCGTCGAATGCAATGAAAATAAAGATTTAACATAAGAGTTGAATATGAAATTGACTAGAGGAAATAAATAAAGCCTGGCAACTGAAAATCATCGTCCCCGATAGTTGACCCCTAAAAACATGTCGGGCTGATTCGCGGGAACGTTTGTTTACATCCGCACCTCGAGAAAGAAAGATAAGGCGATTTTAGTCGTCAGGACGTTTAGACTTGTTTCTTTGTCTTGTACAATACAACACACCACCTCCCTTCTCTCTCCCACATTCTCAAATCAATTCTTTCCTTCTCACACAAATTCCCCTCGTATATCTATATACATGCGTTATCTCAGTGCGCGGTTAACGTCCGGCGAGCTTGTCTCTGCACTTTTCTCTCTTCCTTTTAAAAATTGGTGAAAAACAACAGCGGACGCGCAGGTAAGTCTTGTGCTGCTAGGAACTCGCCGATCGCGGCTCCTTGCTTGTTTTTATATGAAAATTTGCCTCGACGTTCGACACTTTCCGATCACCTCGCACGTTACATGCCATATATATATATATATATATATATATATACACATACACACATACACACGCGCGCACGCACGCACGCACGCACACACACACGCGCGCGCGAGCGCACATATATATATATATATATATATATATATATATATATATCGTCAAATACCTTTTGTTGATACTCGTTCGCGCAGATTGAAACAAATTAACGACGAATTTTGAGAAAGCCTCGTTATCGGAAAGTTCCGTGGACCCTTTAGCAACTCTATTTCTCCTTGGGTTGATACACGTGTTGCAAGGGCTTCATCTATTGGATGTAAGAAAGTCGATTTTTTTATTGTACAAATTTGCTTTGAGAAAGATACGGGACACGTGATTTACCGATTTATGCTTCGATATATTAATTACTTGCGCACATTTTTTTATGCTCATATTATGTTGAAAGCATTTTCTTATAACTGAGACTTACTTATTTAAATTGCTCGATTTCTCTATTAAAATTTATTAATAGTCCGAGATATGTGTGCGTGTTGAGATATTATCAATCGACTGCACTTGATACTCCTTAATTATTTATATGATAAATTTCATTATTTCATCAATGTTCGTCAACGTATTGTTTCTAACATTGGCTATTAGTATAAATAACCTTTTACGTTATTATACATTTTTTACTATTAATTTTATTTTATAACAAATTATTGCGTTATCCTTGTGTATTTTTTTAATACAATGTAAACATTAGTAATAAAATCATCGTGCCTCTACTAATAAATAAACTATCTAATTATTTATTTTCACTACGTTTTAAACAATAAAATTTTCAGTCTATGCCCAAGTAAATAAATAAATATGCAAATACTGAATTTATGAGTATGCGAATGTATGTATTTGCATGTGTGCAAATAGCCGAAAGAATTGCATGAAAAGTAAATTGAACGATATAATATTTTTAAACATCAAGTTGTATTTGTTAATTTTAGGATTAATATTAAATTTCTCTCTCTCTCTCTCTCTCTCTCTCTCTCTCTCTCTCTCTCTCTCTCTCTCTCTCATCATCTTTAATTCTATAATTTTATGACTATATTTTAAGATTCATGGAGCTTTCATCCAGAAAAACCTCCAAGCGTGCGATAGAGCCGGTAGATGAGTGGTTGCAGAACGAAGGATATTATAGAAAACTTGCACCAAAAGATTCTACGTGCTTATTTCGAGCTGTGAGTGAACAGGTGTATCAAAATCAAAGATGTCACATAAACGTTAGGAAGGAGTGTGTGGAGTTTATGAAGAAAAATAGGCAGATGTTTGAACAGGTAAGCGCATTGTTACATAAATCATATTTATAGCTGTTGCGGAAAAATTTATTGCTATTACTTTTGTAATAAATATACGTCGCTTGTGTCGTTGCAGAAAATATCGATACCGTACGAAAGTTACTTAGACCAGATGGCCTGTTTTACGGAATGGGGTGGGATGAACGAAATTTTAGCTATGTCCCTGTTGTTTAAAAGAAACGTTATTATTTTTCATGGACAATTATTATCGAGGGAGACTATAATCGATCATGGCTTTAAAGATAGCTTGTATTTCTGTTTTACACCATTGAAACAATATGAAACAGTGTACACTCAAGAATATACTGCGAATGCTGGCTTTTGTCAATGTTAGTATGCCGTCGTAATTATTTTAATAAATTTGCTCAAATATGCCAAATTCTCATCATTTTAATCAATTTTAATTATCAATGTATTATTAAACATCCATATATTATACAACATTTTTTCTTTTAAAACATACGCAATATAAACATTATTTTTTTAAGACATTTTGTACGGCTGTTTTGCTTAATTTTGCAGCTCTTGTTTACCAAACATTATACAAAAATGTTTTCAAAATGAATAATGTAGATATAACTGTTCATAAAATGTTGCACGAACGATCTAATAACTTAAGACATGACAAGTTTTTCCTCAAAGGAAACTTAGAAATTCGGAAGTATGCAAATTTTGATATTCTTTTACTAATACTTAAGTTATTTTTCAGTATGCATTATAATTATTTGCAATGATTTGCAGTGAATTGACTTTAGAATTGTTAGATAAAATCGATGATAACGGAGATAATGAAGAATTGCAGCTTCTATCTAAAGGAATTACACCATTTCCTTATCGTATAGCGAAAGCTTTAGATCCTAATATTTATCGTAATGTCGATTATGATATTTGGCATGAAATTAGACGGGGTACGTTTAACTACAATTACGCTCTATAGTTTCTATTATCGCAGCCAGTTTTCTGTATCCTGTGAGCGAATTAAAATAAATGTTATGTCAATTTGTGCGTATTAAATTGCAGAAGTTAGGAATTCGGGTTACACCAAATTTAATTCGACCGAGCTGCAAGCTGGTGCTAAATGCTTAGTACAAATTGACTTAAAGGAAAATGATAAGGCTAATAATAATTTTTTGAGTGCTCGAGAGAACTGGGATAATAATTCCAAATCCGTTACAAAGCCAAAACGCTTGGAACCTTTATTTTATACTGGACATATTCAGGAAATGAGCAAAAATCAAGGACCTGTAGTAGTTTTTATAGAAGAATTAGGAGAAAAGATGACTGTACCGTACGAAACCTTGAAACCCTTTCCACAAAGAAAGGTTAAGCAAAACAATTGGGCTATTAGTTCAAATAAGAAAAATATGATAAATCAGAGTAAGTTTAAGGCATTGCCTGCATGCTTGCATTTTTAATAATCGCGTTTAATTTAATTTTAATACCCATTCTCATGGTTAATAATTTACAATCAATTGATAACAATTCATTATCAAATTAATATCGAAATCATATCAATTTGCTTCATTTATGATAGATACAAAATGGAAAAAGCCTTGGAATTCAACAAACCGTAGAGTCAAAGATCAGATGTCTAATGACAATGCTGAGAAGAATCAAATGAGTAATTCCAAAGCTGTTACAAAAAATATTATGAGTAAATCGGAATGGAGTACAGAAACGAAGTAATTTGATAAAAAAAAAAAAAAAAAAAAAAAAAAAAAAAAAACCATTTATGATATATCACAACATATAAATATGTGTAAAAATGTTCTTCTCCCTTCTTTTTCAGTTTAAAAAATCATTCTGTAAAATTACAAATTGAGAATTATACATCTTATAAAGAGTATACCGTTAATGTACGTATCTTGACAAAATTATTCTCATACTTATGTAAATCTGTCTATATCTATGAAATTATAGCGTGAAATTTTAACAATTCTTAGACATCCGTTGAAAACGTGAGGGCTGCGCTTGAGAATTCGCATATAAAATCTACTGAGGCGGTAGAGCAAACAGTCGCTGACAAAAAAATTCAAAAATCCGGTGTAAATATCAATACATGCGACAATACACCGAAAAAACAATCAGTTGCAAACTTTAACAATGAAGCGAAGCAAACAAATAAGCAAAATAATCAGCATACAGAAAAGAATGAGATATTTTATCCCACTTATTCAAGTAAAATAATTTTAACGAGCCATTACATTTTTATATATTCATTTTATAAATTTAACAAACTGATAGGTAATCTCGATTTTAGATCATACTTATTCTCCAAATTCTCGTTTTTCTGGAGACTCAGAAATTAAATATGATTTAGTAAAATATTCAGATATTGAAAACAATGGTATACCATATTCAGGTGAGAGAGAGAGAGAGAGAGAGAGAGAGAGAGAAAGAAAGAGAGAAAAACTTGTATTACCCATTAAACAAAAAGCGCCAATCGATTTTTTTCCTATAACGAGCAATATTTTTCTTATAATTGGATTCAAAAAGAGAAACTTTCATACATTATTCTCAAATGTATATTAAGATGTATTTTAAGATTCTATTAAAGATTATCTTTAAAATTTACATTTTATCGCTGTATATTATACTAATGGAACTGTATGTAAGAAAATTTTTGTAATTGCGTTTTTTGAAAATGTTTTTCTTTTTTTTTTTTTTTTTTTTTTTTCACTTTTTAAAAAGTGAATATTCTTTTTATATCGGCAATCATTTGATCTATTTGTAATTGCTAAATAATTTTAGATCCTGCTACGGTACGACATTTTTTTAACTTAGGAGTCAAGGTATCATTTCTTTTATATCTGTATTTTGAAATAATTTTCGTGAAATATTAATTAAATATGTTAATGTTACAGTATTTTTGGTCTCAAAATATGTGGGCTAATGGAAGTAATGGCCAATCGTTTGCTGATAATTCATATTATATATCTCAACTTCCGCCTGATGTGAACTCTAACACCAATATTATGATTGGTATATATATATATATATATATATATATACATATAGATATGCATATATGTGTGTGTGCGTGCGTGCGTGCGTGCGTGCGTGCGTGTGCGCGCGCGGTTGTGTGTGTATATATACATTGCTCATATTCGTAAGATTACTTTTTTTTTACTACACGCGGTAATAATATTGCGCAGTTGTTTTAAGTAAAATATTTTTTATGAAAATAAATTACTTAAATATTAGTAAAAAAAATATTTAATTTTTTTTTTTTTTTTATATTTGACATTTGTAGTCTAATGTTTTTAAAAATTAATTGAAAACTTGCTTATTAAAATTCAATGAATAATAATTAGCAATACGATGTTTGTGTATATAATCATTAAAAGTTATTAAAGTTTATTATAATGTAAATTTTTAAGCAAACTTGTATGTTGAAACAGTATTTACAAATAAAATAATTAAATGCAAACAAATTTTAAGGTCCAATTTCAAACGATGAGAGCATTAGTCAAACCAACAGTACTTCAAATAACAACTTACGACACAACAATCGGTCGTCTCCTGTCCGACATAGAGATACGGAAATTGTTAACGTTAACGGCACAAGAACAGGTGGACAAAAGTCTAATTACCGCAATTCTGAGTTTAACAACTTTTCGACGTCGCGTGATTCACATCAGTCGTCAAGCGTTGACAGAAATCGAAATGAATATAAAAATACGAATTCTAGTGATCAACAAAGGCAGCAGCAGCAGCAACAGCAACAGCAACAACAACAGCAGCAACAACAACAACAACAACAACAACAACAACATCAACAGCAACAATCGCAGCAGCATCAATCTTCAATTCCCAATAATAAAGAGGCGCAACGAATAAACAAATCAAATGGTGTGGCACCGCGTTTTAAAAGAAATTATGAGGGTAAGAAAGATTGCAAATAATTTAAAAAAACTTATAATTTATTTATAGTATTAATTATTTTTAAGTAATAGCAAATGCTCGATTTATAAAAAATTATAGATACTATGGAAACTCTCTTAGAGTAGTATCACAGTCATTTTTAAAGTCATGTAAAAAAAATTTTTTTTTTCTTTTTAAAAAAATTACAAATATACAAATAAAGAGTCACTGCAAGGGCATATTGTACAAATAATATAACAATTATAATTAAAATTAATTATAAATAATGTGTCCTTTAGATTATTTAAGGAATTTTATAAATTAAAAATTAATGAATTGCACAAGGAAAAATAATGTTTGTTACAAAATAATAATACAATCTAACAAATTCATAAAAAATGAAAGCAACGTGATTTAAGATTTTGGAAGTAGTGATTGTACTTTTTTCACGTATTTGCTCATGAACTTTTTCTTTTTACTATTTTGTTTTGTTGTGTTTGTGCAACTTTCGAAATTTTCTAAAGAATCTAATTTATCAAGCGACGGAAGAGGAGGAACGGATTCCGATGTTGTAGGTACTTCACCTTGACTAGACACTTGATTTGACTTAGCTTTTGAAATTGTTGGATAATTGGATTTTATTAATTTTGATGTTCTTTCGGATGAGTTTTCTTTCGTATTGTCATCTTCGTTAGATTCATTTAAAGTTAAACCATTACTGTTTACATCTTTTAGTGCAGAAATTTCATGGACTATCTCAACGGGGCTTTCAATCTTTGAAACATCTATTACGGTTTTCATTGAACGAATAAGCTTATCCCAGAAAAATTCAGATGAAAATTTCTTGTAATAAATTTTAGAAAAATATGTTAACTGCGGTGGCAGTTCACAACTCTTATAAATACATGGGATAATTTTTCTTTCTTGTCTTTTATCTAAAATATATATCTATTATTCGTTTTGCCAATTTATTTATAAACAATAATAGTTGCAGAGATAGAATTACCATGTAATTATCAAAATTTGGACGAATTTTTTTTTTCTAAAACACTTTCATTATAATGTTATAGTGACTCACCTATTCCGGTAGCTTGTGCAAAATTCAAAAAGAATTTATTTGCAGGGCTCTTTAGAAAGTCGGGACTTAAAATAGTAATGAGTCTGTTGCAACGTTCCGATATTAACCTCATTATGGCTTCGTGCTCAAATGTCACTCCAGCAATCAAGTCTCTTTCTTTCAAACAAAGCTAAAAGTAACAATAATCTCATACGTTCGTTTGACCTATCTCAATGATTAAACTTATTAATAAAATTGATTACCTTTAAATTATTTTTTCTCTCTAAATTTTCAACTACCTCGTTTACAAAATCAATATCTTCGTCAGCGTATAAAAGAAATGCATCGTAATGTTGTTTTTTTTGCCCTCGTTCTATTCTGAATTGATCATCTATAAACATTAAGAAGCATTAAGAACAATTTTATAATTCGCAGCAAAATTACTACTCTACTTAAGTAAATACTATTAAGTAAATAAATATGCCATACCTAGGGTCAGTATTTCTGAATCTATAATAAAATTATTCTCTTCCGCTGTGCTTTCAGATTTTTGTAATCTTTCAAGATATAGATTTGCATCTTTATCTAGGAATAAAAACGAAGAGATTTATTCATCATAATTACATTGATTATTGTTTTAAAGCAACGATAGTGGCATCGATGTACCTAAGTATGGTTGAGAATCATCGACGATATCCCATCTTTCAATGTGCTCCAATGCATCTTTCAAATGTTGCAACGTAAAGTCTTGAGATCTTTTTTGTACAATACTCAAAATGCGATAAGTCGGATCCGAATCTGCAGCGATGGCAGGCAAAATTTCGCCTCCCACAGCACATACTTGTGCAAATCCTCTCCAGTCTCTACATTTAGTGATGCGTATCATTAAAATTCTCGTTAGTCAATTAAAGCCTTAAATACAGCTATATGCAGGGATGTACGCTCGATCGATTAAAAATCGATATAAAGAACGTGGCAGTTACTGCCATGAAATATTTAAGAATTAAATTAAAAGTAATGAAAATTCTCTAACCTAAGTAATCCGTTACTCGATGGAATGACTTTGGGTGGATTTAATAGAATAGAAATTAAATGTGTTGTTTCACTTGATATAGCAATTAAAGGCACACGCGAAAGTTTTGACATTATTCCCCGTTATTTTGCAATTGTTTATGATAAATAATCGTTTCAAAATTACTCCTGACAATGACAATTTCGTGAGATTCATGTATAATAAATAATCTTATAACGATGACTTGTATTTATATTGCACAAAAGTCCCAAGCCTTCGTTAATACATTTTTATTCTGACAATATATATATATATATATTATTATATCTATTCGTTTTTGTGAAAGTACGTGTAGTGCGATGTACTTGTTGATTTACCGATTGACCCATACCACGTGATTTTACTTATAGAAATTGTCCCCTCCACTTGTTTAAACGAATTAATTGGCGGTAATAATTTCTATTTTAAATTAGCCGATACGTCAAAACTATTTTTTTTCTTCACGAGAAATTAAGCATTTTATAGAAAATTCCATTATCAAATCAATATAAACTACCAGATAATAATAAAATGGGACGCTTAACAGAGATTAGTAATTGTTAAATTAATTCATATGGATTTTATAAGGGATTATAAAGATATTTGAGTGATATCATGGAATTAAAATATAAGTAAATAAAGAGGTAAAAAATTAAATAAAAATGTCATTGAACGTTATTGGTTGCAAATAATTTTCTTAGCCAAGAATATTTATGGTAGATATAATCACTAAGCTTACGACGAGGTATTCCATCTGTAAATATTACGTAAAACTTTATTTACTTAAGTTTGAACTATATTTCTTAAATGTAAATTACATCGAGTATTTTATAGCGAGTGACAACTATTTTGGAAAACATTTTTCAAATCATAATTAATTTTGCTTTTGAGAATTTTTATAATACATTCGTAATAAATACAGAGACCAATGAAAATAGTATATTCATCGAATACCTGTACAAAATAAAAAATAAAGGAATAAGTATTTGTAGACTTATTGTTAGATAATCAATGTCATTTGTGAAGGTTAACGATCCTTTTTAATGTCTAAATAATATTTTAAAACTGCGCCATGAAAATAAAATTTATTATTGAGTATTTCGATGCACTTGATGATTTCAATGATTCGAGGCGCCTTAAGCATTTGAATTTTATATTATTATCGATTGTTTCAAATTTATATATTATATTCGTCTAATAGTAATTACTACAAAGTTTAGCTGTAAACAAAAGGAGATTATAAAAAGAAAAAATTTAACCGATAATAATGAAAGTAACAATTTATAAATACTCGTTTATTTCACTTTCATACAGAGACATAAATTTTCTCTCTTGTATCATTATTATTTTTATTCAACGTACAAGAGAGAAGTTTTTTTTTTGTCTTTTTTCTCACTCTCTCTCTCTCTCTCTCTATCTATCTCAATCTCAATATCTCCAAATTACAAACGGATGTCATATAAAATTTGATTAATTATAACAGGAAGAAATCGCAATGATCATCACAATGCTCAGCATCAATATCGTCAACATCAGCAACATCAACAGCAGCAACAACATCAACAAGACTATGAGTTCCGATGTAGTAAGAAGCCAGCCGAGGCTCCGATAATTACGAATCAGTGCGAAATTAACGAAGTTACTCAGATGCAGCAGCAAACTTCAATACATCAGCAACAGCAGCAGCAACAACAACAACAACAACAACAACAACAGCAGCAACAACAGCAGCAACAACAGCAACAGCAACAGCAACAGCAGCAACAACAACAGCACCAACATCAACATCAACAGCAACAGACACCGATACTCCAACCACAAACATCGCCTACTTTAAACAATTCGTATTCCTATCCATTGCCGTACAATCAACAAATACCGTACATACCGCTTGGACCATACCCATCCGAATCTGAAGCATTTCCAGGTTTGTAAATAAAAATCCCATAAGAGTTTTATAAAAGAGCCTTTTTTTTTTTAAGGCCTTCGAATGAAAATTAATGTGACTTTTATTATAAAATTAATCTACGGACATATTAGCCATCATTTTTATAGATGATTATTAAGATATTTGCCGATGTATCGTATAAAAGATGTAATCTTTTAAATTCTTCTTTTAAATTGCTTTCAGCTTTAAAGAAATGAAATAGCTACGTATGGAAAATGCATGCATGTAAGAGCAAGTTTTAATCAAAATATGAGTGAGTGCGATTGCACTATCATTTCTTGATAATTCAATCGTACGTGTGTTGCACTTTAGTTCAATCACTTGTTTTTTTTTTGGTTTTTTTTTGTTTTTTTTTTTTTGTTTTTTTTTTGTTTTTATTTTTATCTATGAATTGCCCTCGCAGCTTCTCCCAAGGGTATATACGCAGCAATACAAGTGTTTCGCATTAATTGACATTTATTAAATTATCATTCATCGGTTTGTCATCCATTGATCATTAGTCACACCTCATTGCCGTAATATTAGTTAAAAAAAAGAAAATGAAAATTTTCCAAATAGAATAATAATTGTTATATGTGTTAGTTTTCTTTACTTTTTTTTTTTTTTTTTTTTTTAAATCATTAAGTCGATGTTTCATTTTCTTTATTATTATTATTAATTTATTATTTTTTTTTATCTCTTTATTTTCCTTACTCGTACCGGCGACTCTCACTAAACGTCACATAAATTATCTCCAGTGTAAATAGTATTACGTCGCGAATATTCATTTATTCTGTAATAATATGATAATCTACATCAATAACCCAATACAATAATTAAGGATAAATATCGTCGAGGACGTCGCACTCGAGTAATTGTAAATTTCGAATTTTAGTAACAATAATACGATGTCGACCCGAACGTTTACGTTTAGCGTGCACGATACCGAATAAATATAATCGTATTATTTAAAGGTTAAGCTTTTATTGTTGTATTTTTCAATTTCGCTAGCGCGAGCACAATTGCTTCGAACCGCTCAACGCGCCCAAGCACTCGCCTACATATCCTGATTACAAACTTGACGCAATATAAACAAAAATTTTGTCATTAAATTGACGATTCGAGCATTATTGCGAGTATTATTCAAAGTAAACTTCAAATAATGCAAAATCACGGAGCTAATGGAAGGGCCCGCGAAATCTTTATCCTTTATCCCTACATTTTAACAACGATTCAGAATTAAGATTAATGAATAACGATAAGCCGTCTCTCTTCGGCCAACTCTCGTATCGCTTAAATCGCTCGCCCTCGTAATTAAAATTAGAGCAGCACATATCGGATTATAATAACAACATCAACCATTAACGCGGAAACCCGTGTATGATTACAGGCCACTACTACACGGTCCCGCCTGGCTTCATGCAAGTCCCTTATTTGGCCCCGACCGAGCTTTCGGAGACCGGGAACCTGGGGGCCGGTGCCTGCGGCGTGCCACCGCAAATCTACTCGCAAATGGAGAGCTTTCCGGCCCAGTATCCGCCTGTCTACCCGCAGTACGTCTACCACCCGCCAACGATCTATCCGAACCAGGCCCCGGCCCCCGCCATCCCCGACAACTGCTATCCGCCCTATCAGGGCCAGTCGTACTTCTTTCCTTACCCGCCTCCGCCTCCGCCGCCGCCACCGCCGCCGCCGCCGCCGCCCCCGACCACGATGCTGCCGAACATGGGACCTGCAAATCCGCAGAATCCGCAGAGCGCACCGTCCCACTAAGGCGCCTAATTCGCAAACGTGCTGCCGGATTGTGGAAGGCTGGACTCCGAAAAATACGTAGTAAAGCTTTACGTAAATAGTGTTGAAGTAGCAACAAGTATTGTTGAATAATGTATTGATAAGCGGTAGGTAATTATTGGGCGTTTTAATTGATGAAATTATTACGACTTTTGCATTTAGGTACCTTGGGGATCGATGTGGTTGCTAATTTTCATCAGCAATTATAAATAAACATTATTTTACAAGATTATTACGTATTTTTCAGACTTTGCCGTTTTCACGAATCTTGCATCTTATACGTATAACGAATTAGCTATCAATTTTTTCGTGACGAGCACTTTGATTATTATTGTTTTTACGACGGGCAGATTTATGTGCAATTGCGAGAGATTTTTTTTTTAAACATAATTGAAGGACGAAGGGGTGATTTTTAATTATGTTTGAAAGTAACGATAGATTTGCCAACGTAATGATGATGATATTTCAAATGAATTACAGAAATTGATATTATCGTTAAAACGAGACAACTTACTATTTACTACGAGCAACAAGTCCAACTTATTAGCTTAAAACGATTATTTCATTGTTAATTAACATACAATAATTCTTGAAAATTATATTGTAAAGTTAAATAGTTAATTAATAGGTTTATTGGTTTTCATGATCAACACCGTGATTAAATCGACAATCTTTATATTTTGTATTAAAACTAATAGATTTCGTACTGTGTCGAGCACATTGTACTTTATAATATAATATTGAAGGTTTTTCTAAATTTACAAAATTTACAAAATTTACAACGCACAAGCACACGTATATATTACGTATACGTATATATGTATGTGTGTGTGAATATATATATATATATATATATATATATATATATATATATATATATAATTAATACATATGTATATATATTTGTTACTTCAAATAATTTCTAATAAATATTTTCATTATTATAATTGTGTAAATTATTTACAATCATATGTATATTTACACATGTTTATTGTTAAATATATTCATTATGAATATTATGATGAACTATGAAACGTTGATAGAAGAGTTGATAAATGCATTTATCGGTAATTCGCAATCTAATATGAAAGTTGTTAAATATTTATTAGTTAACAGAGAGTCAATTGTTTATATTATAATTTGTAACATTTATTTTGTCATTATATTGGGTACAAAATTTATATTTTCATTTCGTTCAAAAGATAAACATTAGAAAGCGATACATCGATTTCAAACGAAAAAACGAATTTTATATGTTTCAGTCGCTCATAAGTGAGCGTATTATTTTGAAAATTATAACTTATCGTTAATTTTTTTCATAACATAATAATTGACATTACTTCAATTCCATTATCAATTATTAGGTAAAATAAATAAGAAAATTATTAAGAAATTAATGCTAAGCGACATTGAGTTAAATATAATTGCATTATCAATGAGTAATGACGAAATTGTAGAAAATAATTATTTATTCGAATTATAATTAAATTAATCCAATACAATATATTTCAGCTTATAAATAGATGGATCTGATTACAAATATATATCGAATTGAAAGTTAATGTGCCAATCGATTGATAAGAAAATCTATATTGATAGTCATTGCGATTTATTTTATATTTCGAACGAATTTTTACGAAACTAATAACATTTCGATCGATACCTTAAAATCTCATTAACCAACCTTTCCATGAAATATACGTTGCTGTCCTTTATAAATAAATTAACGTCAATAATGTGATCTAATATCAACAATATCTTATATGAGCCTATGGCTTGTACAAATTTTTGTAATAATCTCAATCACAATATTATAAAACAATTACATAATACGTGCATCTATTTACAAAAGTTGTTCAATCAAAGTTCTTAACATTGGAAAGCCCAACTAATTTCTCCATCTTATCGATGTACTGCACAGAATGCTTTCAGCATAGAAATATTCTTCCGATTGTGGTCGAAGACTCGCTTTATATTCAAGCAATGCCGTGCGATCCCCTTGCGATCCAAATATCTATTTTAGAATTAATTTTAACAATTAATTTACAAAGAAAATTTAATTTAATTATTTGAGTCGATGCAAACATTATACGTACATTAATGACAGCTTTATAACAATTGAGATTCTTTGCAACCTCCAATCTCTTTGTACTCTCTACATAATTTAGAAATTTTTCCATAATTCCAGAAGGCGCTCGATGATCTTGCATCAGCTTTAATACTTCCTCGATGGGTAAATTTGTCTGTAATTTTTTCCCTCCAAGCCAGCCCTTGATAAATTAATCATTAATAATTTAATTTAATCATTTACCATAATTGATTTATCGTGCTTTACAATACACTTCATTAAGATTACGTTACTTTTTTATGCAGTAATGCATCAATGTCGTCCCAGGCTTGAACAGATGCCCTAGTTACGATGGCGACCTTTTGGTATTGTCGTGGTGAAATTTTCTGACTCTGAGCCAAAGATAATGGAGAAAGGCTGTTATTTTCAACTTTCGCACCCCAATAATCTTTACAAGTCAAACGTAAGCATTCTAATGCGGAGGAGTTGCATTTCAGTGGCTCACTTAATTTTAAATGAAAATTCTTCTGCCATTCTAAGAACAAGAAGAAAATGTCCATACAGTTTCACATTACACTCAATCGAAGCTACATTACAAACAAGGCATTATTATACTTGATCGCTGGATTTTTTTTTTTTTTTTATACAAATATGCTGATGAAACAAGTATTGAAATTAATTTACTATTAATTTAATCTCTTTTTAATATCCAATTACTAAAGTAGCGTGAAATTTGTAATACCTAAAAGTTTTACATATGATTTAACAAAAGCTGTCTCTCTGCAGTCAGACAAATTAGAAAAGAACATAGTGTAATGTTTTGTTATTTTTGCGAGCAACAAGTCTATGCTGCCTTCTGCTTTATCAGTATTTTTAATGATTATATTTAAGCATCTGATCTACAAATCAAAAGGTATTTCCAATTTTATTTAATTATCATGCTTTAATACAAGATCGATAAGAAAAGGCTTATTAAATTATGACAAGAATTATTTACTGCTGCGTCTGTTGTCTTTCCTTGGGCACTGCGCAAAAGTATTAAGAATCAATCATTAATAAATACTTTTTACTTATGGATTTAATTGGTACCAATTGTCTTACGTAAGTAAGTCGCAGATTTCGCTTATGCACATTCTCGTTGAAAGATAATGAATGTACATATGCAGTACCTCTGGCCTCTCGAACAATAATTTCTGAAGCACGCTTCGCTTTAATGTTCTTTTAAGAAATAACGTTATCTGAAAATACGCCGTTTATAATCGAATCAATATGGTTAGAGACAACTTTAACAAACGTAATTTTACCCCTAAAATAGCATTTCCATTTCCACTTTTTATGGCGGCATCAATTAAAGCAGTTTTACTAGAAAGTGATTTATACTGCTCTAACGAATAGGGCTGGCCGATCAATATATTTCTAAGCGTTGCATCTGGATGTACACTGAAAGAATCGTCCGAGATATACTGTAGTCTATCAGCTTCGAGAACTACAAAAACAAGTCACAATTGAAAATTATTTATTTCAATAATATATATTTACACGAGCTATCGATGCAATTGCTTTAAAAACAAACTATTTTCATTCTCTACTACTCATCTCTACTTTGTTTGACAAATCCCAACTATCCTACCGATCGTTGGACAAAAGTTTATCATTTACATTCTTAATCGAACAATTACAAAGAATATATAAAGCAATTTTCGGTAATTTACCTTGTGCGAGCGCATCAGTACTAATAATTGATAAGAGCGGCTTTGTACTCCACTGCGGCTCATCGTACTTGGGACTGTTGTCGGTAACTTGTATATTCGAAATACCAGCTCTCAATTGTGCGGTGCCGCTTTTCGACACTCCAAACAGATTGTCGGACTGGAAAATTCAAATTCAACAATTAGAATCTTAACGAAAACTTGAAATTAAAAATTCACCAATGTTATTACAAAAAAACTAACCTCACTGCTTTCAAAACAAAACGATCGTTTTTCACTGCTGTACCAAAAATCATCGTCATCGTTTGATGCCAAAGCCATCGCCTAATGCATTCGATTTCAATAATCTTAATTTCAATTTTAAGCATAAAATAACAAGTGTAATGTAAATGATTATGCGTCCATAATACTGGATATGGATATGTCACTTTAAACGGCGCATTGTATATCCGACTTTAGTTCCCTTCACCGTGCAATTCACGCGCGTACGCACGCACGCACGCACGCACGCACGCACGCACGCACGCACACTCGCACACTCGCACACTCGCGCCTGTTTAAGCGCTCTTTTAAAAGCATTGATAATTAGGCATCATAGAGTATGTATGAGTCTCTCACTGGTGCTAATCGACGACGTTTGGCTATTCTATTCGGTCATTGAAAAAATGAAATAAAAAAAAGTACATTATAATGTGCAGAGTGAATTGGAATATAAACACCTTTTCCAACGGCAACGGACGTTGCTAATTCGTATTATATGCGTTTATTCAACAATCGCTTAACAATGTCTAACCTGTTAAATTATATGATTTTAAATGTAATTTGAAAATGATGAAGCAAACTGTTGAAATGAATGAAAATGAAAATCGTATGATAAGTAGCTCGATATTTGTTAACAATATAGTCTTCCTCTGTTTTTTCGCTCATGTTAGTTCGAATTCTACTCTGCGTGAATTAGATCGATAAATCGAGGGACCACGAGTAGTGTGACATGTAAAGAACAACGCGCAAAGCCCTCGAATCGAAGTCGAGTATAAGACAAAGAGAGAGAGAGAGAGAGAGAGAGAGAGAGTGACATTGATCGTAAATATGATCGTCGTGTGAGAGAAAAGGTGAGTAATCAGATCAAATATATTTTTTATTTATTTTATTTTTTTGGGCAAACATAGTTGTCCACGTGTTTTGCATTGTTTATGCCATTTTCGTATGTTTTGCGAATGCCATAGACGTTACGACCGTACGCGCTCGATATCGTTGTTACCGACGACGGACTTTCAATGCATTGCCGTTGCATAGGACCGCTGGCGGTTTAGGGACCGGAGATTTATGTCCCAAAGTTTCGCAAATCTTATCTTTACTATATGTAATTAGGATGAAAGAGGCTCGCGAGCGCCTTGGATCGATTATTGTTAGCCTGCGTCCTCCACAAACTGATCGCAGCCGTGATTACCGGCGGTTACGACTGCTGGCCAAAGCCATTCGAATGACACGGAATATTTGAAATAGCGCGACGCGATTGGACGCCAAAAATGATGCGAATAGTCTATCCAATAGCGCTCGTCGATATTTCATTTTGAACGGGCGAAGCTTCACCCTGGCCCTTGAATTATTTTAATGGAATCTCTAATTGACCGCCCGTGAGCAGTTTTTAAAGCGCCAGTCGATTCACCGATAGAGCGAGAGCTAGAGAGAGAGGGTTAGTCGCGAAAACATCGCTCCCAATAATTAAAAAAAAAACGAGCATTGCAATGTGATGAGGCTAGGTTAGGTAAGTGTGAATGGGACGCGGCCAAATTAGCTCGAAAGCGAGAAGAAGCAAGTAGATCCGTTGGTTTTATCCCGTTAAGGGTGAGGGGTTAGAGATGGTAAGGGGGCTAGGGAGCTTGGGCTCGACGACGACGACATCCTCCTACATTCGAAATGGCCGAGCCGACGTTGGCGCGCTCGGCAGGTAAGGATGCAAGGTCAGCCGGCCGCGTGCGAGGGTGCGCGTGCATGTGGCGCCAAAGAGATCGCAAAAAGAGGAGAAAAAAAGTCGTCGGTGCCGCACGGCAGCCAATAAAGTCACTCGCCCCAAGCACATAAGCACGGGCATAGGCTCGGCGATCAAGGACTCGGGCTCGTAGCGACTCGACGGGCGAGCAGCGTCGCGTCCGCGCAAGTCGCAAAGTCAAAGGCCGTGGCGTAGCTGCCGCCGCTGTCGCTGCGCGAGAGGCAAGTGCAGGCATCGGGGTAACCGCTCGGCGTTCCCCATTCGCTAATATTTCGACGGGCTGTAGATAATAGCCGTCGCGGAGGGAGCGAAGCCGCTGCAGCGCCATTCTCGGCCCGAGTGCAGAGCAACGAGAGAGAGAGAGAGAGAGAGAGAGAGAGAGAAAGAAATAAAGAAAGAGAGGGAGGGCGGGCGATTGACCGCGTCGTCGTCGTCGTCGTCGTCGTCGTCGTCGTCGTCGTCGTCGTCGTCGTCGTCGTCGTTGTCGTCGCCGTCGTCGCCGCCGTCGTCTTCCTCTTCCTCTTCCTCTTCCTCTTCCTCTTCCTCTTCGTTGTCTTCGTCTTTCTTCTTCTTCTTCTCATCCTTCTTCTTCTCTTTCTCCTTCTCTTCCACTTCTCTTACTCCGCTTGTTCTTCCTTTCGGCAAGGCCCGGGACGTGCCAAGGAGTGTCTTGCGCGCGCGCGCGCCAAATGGACGTCCTGTGACTCCGAGCGCGCACGAGGACACGGGCAGCGAAGTTGAAGGGAGCAGCGGCGCCGAGCGAGGCCGCCCGCAAGAGATCGAGGATCGAGCTGCTAGGCACCATCGCAGCCAGGATCGCCCGCTTCCGAGTTATTCTTCGGACGGTGGGTATTTTCGCGTGGGTGGATTGCACTCGGTCGAGCGCCCACCGAGGTTAGAGTGGCCTCGTAAAGAGGTGGCGGAGGTGAAGGTGCAGGAGCAGGAGCAGGAGAAACGACAGCGGCGCCGGGAGCCGGGAGCCGCGTCCTTTCGGCGACACTTTTGTTATCGAGGCGTTATTTATCCGTATCCTACTTGACTTATTACGCAGCAAGCCCAAAAGGTAGCGAAGAAGAAGAAGAAAAATATAAAGAAGAAGAAGAAGAAGAAGAAGGAAGAGGAGGAGCAGCAGGAGCAGGAGCAGGAGGTGGGGGTGGCAGTGTAGGTGGCGGTGGAGGAGGAGGAGGTGGAGGAGGAGGAGGAGGAGGAGAAGGAGTAGGAGTAGGAGTAGGAGGAGGAGGAGGTGGCTAAGAGAGGAGCAGAAACAGCGGTAGAGGCAATAACAGGAGGATGGGGAGAAGTAGGAGGACGCGACTTGCTGATTCGGAGTCTTAACCTTTATTTGTCCATGAATTTCCCATTGTTTTGCGCGAGTGATTGCGAAGGAGGACAGGTGTTGGCTCCGGGAGAGCGGCGCGGCGTCCCTTCTGCCGGCCAATTATAGATGTGGACCGCTCTTTCCCGCCATACCATTAAAAGTTCTCTTTACAGCACTATTTTTTCATTAAGGTGCCATTTAAGTTATCCTTTTTATTTTCTTTATTCGTTAACGCACGCGAGCGATTCTCCGTTTTGGCCTCACGAAACCTCCCTTTGGCAAAGCATTTTTTTGCTCCTATTAGAGCCAAGCGATCACTCTCTCTCTCTCTCTCTCTCTCTCTCTCTCTCTCTTAAGAGGTTCGATGGCAATTCTTATGCTGGGCCAAAGATGTTTCAAGGTGTACTACCTGCTCGTTGTATATGTAATTGCAACGGTCTGTTTAGTTACGGAGTGATCAAGGCTATGGGAGATAATGTGGCTTTTGATGTTTTGATATGCTAATAATAAAGTGTAAGAGGGGAGGGTAGTTTACGAAACATTGTTCGATGATTTCTTTGTCATTACAAATTAGCTAAATAGTTTGTTGAAAATTTCTAACATACTTTTAAACAATTGTGCTTAATTTCGAATTACGATACGATGTGATCCACTTGGGAATTAAAAGTGTCTAATAACGGCAAATGATTTTCAGCCGTTCATAATAGTTTAAAATACTTGGAGTCTATTTTATTTGTGCATTAAACATAATTCTTAATTCTTAATAGGATATTCTAAACGATGATTTATTAAGTGTACTATTTATTGTATATATATATATATATATATATATATATATATATATATATATATCTATCATGACAAAGTGTTAATAATTGTTATTTTTAATAAGCAAGTCATGCATTAAAGAGTCACTTTAGTAATAATATAAAACAATAATATACAAAATATAATTTACAGTATGATGTTTATTGAAATTAAATTTTATATTTGGGGCATAAATACATTGCAAAATTACTAATTAATGACACACGGGCACGCATAATATTATAAAAACTAATAAATTTCCTTTTATCGTTATCGTGTTAATATTTTAATAACCATTAGATTTTATTTAAATTACTAAATTTAATATGTTTTTTTTATATATTTATATATTGCTTGCATTTATTACAAATGTTAATATTATGTAATCGCAATGTTTCATGGTAATGCGTATAAACAAGTTGAAATAGTAAAGATAAAAATAATTTCTATTTTCTATTCTATATTCTATCTATTTTTAAGGCATTATCTATTTTATTAATAATTTTATTAGTAATTTTTTTAAATTATATTCATTCTTTATAGGCAATTTAGTAAACAATTAGTAAAAATGAGCGCTATGGAGAATGGAGGTGGAGGTGGCGGTGGAAGTGGCGAAGGTGGTTCCAGAAAGAAAGAGAAGACCATCGAGGGCATTTACCAGAAGAAAACCCAGCTGGAACATATTCTACTTAGGCCTGATACGTATATTGGTTCCGTTGAGCCAGTGACGGAACTAATGTGGATTTATGATCAAGAGAAAGAATTAATGGTTCAAAAAGAAATCAAATATGTTCCTGGTTTATACAAAATTTTTGATGAAATACTGGTCAATGCTGCCGATAATAAGCAGCGTGACCCCAAAATGGACACTATCAAAATTGATATAGACGCGTAAGTTCATGGCATTTAATTAGGCTTTAAAAGTAGTTTAAAATTATTATTATTATTATTGAAAATTATTATTGGAAGAATGTTTAACGTCTCTTTTCCTCGAGCATTCGAATATATTACGTATATTAATAATTAATAATTAATAATATTATTAATTATAACATTAATAATATTAGTAATATAAGAGGCTCAAATTTTATGACATTTTATGATTTTTATGATATAGTTTAGACATTTCTTATTTAATAATTTTGCTTATTGATTGAAACAGTGAGAACAATACAATTTCGGTTTGGAACAATGGAAAAGGTATTCCTGTAGCAATACATAAAGAAGAAAACATGTATGTCCCAACCATGATATTTGGACATTTATTGACATCGTCAAATTATGACGACGAGGAGGAGAAGGTGACGGGTGGCCGAAACGGCTACGGAGCTAAGCTATGCAATATATTTAGTCATCGTTTTACAGTCGAAACTGCGTGCAAAGAATACAAGAAATCCTTAAAACAAACATGGGGCAACAATATGGGAAAAGCTAGCGAGGCAAGGGTAAAAGAATTTCACGGTGATGATTTTACAAAGGTAATACGACTGGTTTGCTCGCTTGTTTAGTTACAAAACGAATTAAAATTTTCATCTTCTATGTAATATCTCATTTATTAACATGAAATAAAATAAAAAATAAAAAAAAAAAAAAAAAAAAAAATCTTTTAGGTTACATTTTCGCCCGATTTGTCGAAATTCAAGATGGAAAGATTGGATGAAGATGTCGTTTCTCTTATGTCAAGGAGAGCTTATGATGTAGCAGCATCTTCAAGGGGAGTAAAAGTCTTTTTAAATGGTTCAAGAATACCAATAAAGACTTTTAAGGACTATGTGGATTTATATATTAAAGGCAAGGAAGACGATACTGGCAATCCATTGAAAATTTCTTACGAAAACAGCGGACCGAGATGGGAAATTGCTATTACTTTATCAGATAAAGGCTTTCAGCAGATGTCTTTTGTCAACAGCATAGCAACGACAAAGGTAACAATTTTTATTTGTTACATTTTCTGCACACAGTAAATATAATATAAGACTCGTATGAAGCAATCGTCATTTATTTTCATTGTCGATAGTTTGTGAAAATGTCATATCGTGTGTTTAATAGGGAGGTCGTCACGTTGATCATGTGACGGACCTGATAGTGAAACAACTCATAGAAACATTGAAAAAGAAGAACAAAGCTGGCGTACAAATTAAACCTTTCCAAATTAAAAATCACCTTTGGGTATTTATTAATTGCTTAATTAATAATCCAACTTTTGACTCTCAGACAAAAGAGAACATGACGTTGCAACAAAAGAATTTTGGCTCTAAATGTACCCTTAGTGAAAAATTCATTACCCATGTAAGTCATTATAATCACGTATTTATTTGCATTTTTTAATTTCTATATAAAGTAATTAATGGTGGTACGTACACGTGTATAATTAGGTTACAAAAAGTGGTATAGTCGAATCTGTCTTATCTTGGGCCAAGTTCAAAGCTGATAGTCAACTTCAAAAACTTGGACCAAAATCAAAGCAACGAAAACTTCAAGGTAAATTGCACTCTTAACGAAACTGTCGTCTCCCCCTTATTTCGCAATTTACAAGTATTCCATTATTACATTTACGTTATTACAATTTACGAAATATATCCTTCAGAATTTTCAACCACAATTCCATGTATTATGCGCAGGTATACCAAAATTGGAAGATGCTAATGATGCTGGCACCGCCAGATCATTAGATTGTACGCTGATCTTGACTGAGGGAGACTCAGCTAAAAGTATGGCTGTGTCTGGTATCGCCTCAATTGGTCGCGATAAATACGGAGTTTTTCCTCTTAAAGGTTCGTTGTGTTTAACATTGATGTCCTAGTCCTCTAAAGTCTCTAAACTCCCTACACTACACGAATCTTACTTAACAGGTAAAATATTGAATGTACGAGAAGCCACGCATAAGCAAATCCTCGAAAATGCCGAAATTAATAATTTGATTAAAATTCTTGGATTACAATATAAGAAAAAATACGAAAGTAGAGAAGATTTGAAAACCTTGCGTTATGGTAAAATTATGATTATGACAGATCAGGATCAGGTTACTATTATTATTATTATTATTATTATTATTATTATTATTATTATTATTATTATTATTATCGTCGTCGTCGTCGTCGTTGTTGTTATTATTCTTATTATTATTATTATTCGAGAAAAATATTTTAATGGCTGTTTGATGAATCATGTATATCATCGTGTTTAGGATGGATCTCACATCAAAGGTCTGTTGATCAATTTTATTCACTATAATTGGCCATCATTATTAAAGCTCAACTTTATCGAGGAATTTATTACTCCGATTGTAAAAGCGAGAAAAGGAAATCATGTCTTATCGTTCTTCTCGTTGCCTGAATTTGAGATGTGGAAGAAGGAGACGGAAAACTTTCACACGTATAAAATCAAATACTACAAAGGTTTTTATTTAATTTTTTTGCTTTGTTTTGTTTTGTTTTGTATGTTTTGCCTTTAATATTATTGCTTCGTAAATTTTGCACTCCCATTGCCCTCCCATGCAATATAGACTTGCGATAAACGCAAGATAAACAATAAACTTAATTTGAAGATTAAACGATTATGGTGTTTTAACTCAGGTTTGGGTACGTCTACCGCTCAAGAGGCGAAAGAGTACTTCGAAAACATGGCTCGCCATCGCATTCGCTTTAGATACGATGGTGATCAAGATGATCAAAACATCATAATGGCCTTTAGTAAGAAGTGCGTTGATCAGCGTAAAGATTGGCTGACTAATCACATGGAGGAAACGAAGCGACGAATAGAAATTGGCCTTGGCGAGCGATACCTTTATGAAAAAGATACGAAAGCCGTTTCCTTTTCCGACTTTATCAATGTCGAACTTGTACTTTTCAGGTGAGAGTGCGTTCGCCTAGTTCTTTCGTCCCACTCTTTTCTTTGTTTGCGTGTTTTTTTTCTTCTTTCTTTCTTTATAATTTATCGTAAGTCTCGGGGGAGAAAGAAAAAGTGAATAAATAAAATGAACGCAGTTAGAATAAGCTATGTTTTGTAAAAAGTAAAGGAAACAAAGATTACATGATATAAAATTACATTTTCAGTAATTACGATAATCTAAGATCGATACCGAACATGATGGATGGCTTAAAGCCTGGACAGAGGAAAGTGTTGTATACCTGTTTCAAGAGGAACGATAAGCGCGAGGTGAAAGTCGCGCAGTTGGGTGCGTCGGTTGCCGAGCACTCGGCTTATCATCATGGAGAAATGTCCCTCATGGCTACGATTGTTAATTTGGCGCAGAACTTTGTCGGAAGTAATAACATTAATCTTCTACAACCCATTGGTCAGTTCGGCACGAGGTTAGTTGGTGGCAAGGATTCCGCCAGTCCTCGTTACATTTTCACGATGCTCAGGTGAGTAATGGCATTTTAATCGTTTCATGTTCAATATTTGCATCCTTCCTATATATATGCTTGGCTTTCCTGAAAATGTTTAAAACATAATAAAGTTGACATAGTTCCTTGCGAAGATCCACCTATAAGTGTCACGATGAACAAATTTTACTTTGACCTTGTATATGCCTTAAATTATAAATCGCATATTTTAATAAAAACGATTTGATTGATAAGTGATATTGTGCCTTCTAGTCCGTTCATTTGACTTCTTTTGGAAAAATTCTTAATAGTACTTAATAGTTGTTGTTTTTGTTTTTTGTTTCTTGTTGACAATTTAATATCCATGTCTCGTTTATGTATACTTAAATAAAATATTTGACCGATAGTAGAGACATTTGGTCTTATTGACATTTTTTGAATATTTTAACACGTGGAAAATTTTAATCGGCGTTACAATGAGAATGTAGCTGCGGCTTGCGCCTTAACATCTCTTGATTGTGCATGAAATTATCAACGCAGTGGAATAATTTTACAACAATAATGACTTAACGTACCATTTTGTAAATCTCACCCTGACTCTCATCGTTCAAAATTTATGACAAACAAAAACATAAAGTACGCGAAAGCCGCCTCGTGCCGTATAGTTTAACACCAATGTGCGTCATAACATAAATATGAGATATAACTTTGAATTTTTGTGAAAAGATCAAATTCACAAAGGCTCTATTAATTGAAGGCTGAATTAATCGGTTGCCTCCTCCGACCCTTCCGAGCATGCAATTATACAATAATTTTGCCAAGTGATTTTGAAAATTTAATGCAATGAACTTGTGAAACGTGTTAAAATAGTGTTAAAAAAATATACAAAAACATCTTCAAATTTTCTAAAATCTACACTTCGTTAAATTTATTCTCTCTGTGTGTGCGTGTGCGTGTGCGTGTGCGTGTCCGGGTTATCTGTTGTTTTACATGCTTTAAAAAAATCATCTATCGTGTTAATAATTCCATCTCAAAGTAATAGGTTAAACTTTTTTTTTTTTTTTTTTTTTTTTTTTTTTTTTTTTTAATAAAAAAAATTCAATGGTTAATAATATTACTTCAAGTGATAATTTATGTTCTTATTTACGAGGAATAGTATTTCAAAATAAAGCGAGTACGGAACGATGAGCATAGAAAAATATTTTCATTATAAAGAGACCGAATAAAAAAAAAATTAATTTCTTTTATGGGCAAGGGTAGGGGTCGGTCGGGATGAATGGATTAGTGCGCAAGAAAATAACTGATTCGATCTTCAAAGAACTAAAATTCATCCGAGACCTTAAACAACGTAAATAAATCTCGCGATAACGAATTGCAATGGAAAGGGAAGGTAATGTAAGGCTTCGAGAAGTTATAAAGTAGATGACCATAAACCCTACGATTTTTTATATTTTATATTTTTTATTTTTTTCCCAACTCTTTTTAATGAACAATAAGCTGACATTTATCGCAGATAGCAAGGAACCAAGCCAATGATTATGATTATCCCAAATCTCAAAATACACATGTGGAAAAGTGTGTCGAAATTCCCACTATTATCATTGCCGTCTTATTTTCCCACGAATTAACCGATCGCGACAATTGCTATTTCAGCCCCCTGGCGCGTTTCATTTTCCACAAGCACGACGATGCGCTACTCCGTCACGAATACGACGACACTCAGAAAATCGAGCCGACGTACTATGTGCCGATTATTCCCATGGTGTTGGTGAATGGCGCCGACGGGATTGGCACAGGGTGGATGACAAAAATCCCCAATTACAATCCCCGCGAGATCATTGAGAATCTGCTGAGAATGATGGAGGGTGCCGATCCCAAACCTATGGTAATTATTGGACGTTGCCTCGATTTTTCAAAATTTCTAATTGCGTCCTGTGTCTTATGTTCGAATTTTTGTTTTTTGTTTTGATTGTTTGTTTTTTTTTTCAAACGCATTCGCATTCGAAATAATATTGGAATCATTGTCGATACCATGTTTCCTATGATTGGTTGAATAGCATATTTCTTGAATTTTAATTAAAAATTGATAATTATTCTCTGATATCTCTTTATTTCATCGTATTGTACCTATAAATTGTCTATCCATATATATATATATATATATATATATAAGTAAAGTAAAGAGAATCACAAGTTTTAATCGTAGCCAATTAATAATTTTGCTTACGTGATGTCACCGTAGGTACCGTTTTACAAAAATTTCAAAGGAACGGTAGAGAGCTGTGGAGATTTCCGGTATGTTATCAGTGGTGAAATATCGATCATTGGCCCTGATAAGGTGGAAATCAGCGAATTGCCAATCGGTACATGGACTCAGGCTTACAAGGAAACGGTTTTGGAACCTATGCTTCATGGATCAGATAAAACACCTCCAATGATCACGTTAGTTAAATGCTTAACATTTTATTTAAACACAGTATTTTATTTAAATACAGTAAAATAAAATTTAATATAATAATTTGATACAGTACCGAAGGAAAATTAACTAATGCTGTCGCTACGTTATCAATGACATTGATCTTTTTTTTCTTTATGATTTTTAATTTTGTAAGAAATTTCTATTCGCTCACACGAATTTATTGTAAAGGTATCATTTGCGTTATAATTTTATTAAGTCGAGCATTTATAAAATCCTGAGGACTAATATTTTAATAGAATGATTGAATTTTATAATTTGTTGGATGCATGTAGGAAATATTTATTGGCTTTCGTAAAAAAAAAAAAAAAAAAAAAAAAAAAAAAAAAAAAACATTTTTGTTTATTTTTTTTATGCTTTAGAGATTACAAAGAATACAATACCGACACAATGGTTCATTTCATTATAACATTGCAACGAGACAAATTAAGCGAACTGGAACGAGATGGTCTTCACAGAGCATTTAAATTACAAACAACAACATCCATAACGTCTATGGTTTGTATACAAATATCCTGTCAAACGACATTCACTCGTATTTCATACGAATCATACGAGTCGTTAAAGTTAAAGTTAAAGTTAAAGTTAATTCATCCATTTTATGATGTACGTTTGCCCACCTGTCAATTCATAAGATCAAAATAACATGTAAATCATTTTATAGACTATATGTATTGAATTATTTGATTAACGAATGATCGATTGAACGAACATAATGCCGAACGATTTTTAAATATATATAGTATGGAATGTAATGGGTTAAAGCATCGTTAGCTCAATGTAATAAATAATTTTACTTTTAGTGCGCATTTGACGATAAGTTATGCTTGAAAAAGTTTGACAATGTACTTCAAATAATGAGGACATTCTTCAAAGTGCGATTGGATTTGTATCAAAAGCGTAAGGATTACCTTGAGGGCATCTTACAAGCAGAGTCCGCGAAATTATCTAATCAGAGTAGATTTATTATGGAGAAGTGCGAGGGAATCCTTATTATCGAGAACAAGAAGAAAAAGGAGCTGATTGCCGAGCTCGTGAGACGAGGATACGATTCGGATCCTGTGGTAGCGTGGAAAATGACACAAAATCGCGAAGCGGTCCTGGTACGTTAATATTTATTGAAAAGATCGTGATACCGTAATAATTGGATGAAATGTCTGAGACCTAATGTTTATTTATATTTACTGTGTGTGACGTAAGGAAATGGAAGTGAGTAAAGAACAAATTATATTTCTTTATTCGTTTGATCACTTACGTACTGATTTATAAGATTAGTTATTCGTTAACCTCGCGTCCCTCCCCATTCCACTCTTTTTTATTGTTTACCTGTTTTTTATTCTCTGCGCGTAATTGCTTTCCAACTGTCTTTAAATATTTAATCAATTTGTGCCTATCTATTGCATTCGTTGTATTTATCGCTTTGTATTTAGAGAAAATTTTTTTTATTTAGTATTGTAATGTCAATTTGTAAATAATAGGAAGAGGCTGCTGAAAATGAAGACGACGAAGCTTCTACATCCGCCATTGCAATAGAGAAAGAAAACTTTGATTATCTGCTGGGCATGACCCTATGGTCATTGACCAAGGAAAAGAAAGACGAGCTATTGAAGCAAAAGGATGATAAGCTTGGGGAATTGCACAGGTTGCAAGCGCGTACTCCATTATCTTTGTGGAAAGAAGATCTCGATAATCTTCTGAAAGAGCTGAACAATGTAAGCTATAATTAGCTCACGTTGATTTGTTATCCTTGTACCCTTTAAATCGTGAAATTTAATGAGAATGTATACTATATATACACATTAGATTATATGAACTGGATCTGTCGTTGAATTATTATTATTGTTGTTGTTGTTGTTGTTGTTGTTGTTGTTGTTGTTGTTGTTGTTGTTGTTGTTGTTGTTGTTGTTGTTGTTGTTGTTGTTGTTGTTGTTGTTGTTGTTGTTGTTGTTGTTGTTGTTGTTGTTGTTGTTGTTGTTGTTGTTGTTGTTGTTGTTGTTGTTGTTGTTGTTGTTGTTGTTGTTGTTGTTGTTGTTGTTGTTGTTGTTGTTGTTGTTGTTGTTGTTGTTGTTGTTGTTGTTGTTGTTGTTGTTGTTGTTGTTGTTGTTGTTGTTGTTGTTGTTGTTGTTGTTGTTGTTGTTGTTGTTGTTGTTGTTGTTGTTGTTGTTGTTGTTGTTGTTGTTGTTGTTGTTGTTGTTGTTGTTGTTGTTGTTGTTGTTGTTGTTGTTGTTGTTGTTGTTGTTGTTGTTGTTGTTGTTGTTGTTGTTGTTGTTGTTGTTGTTGTTGTTGTTGTTGTTGTTGTTGTTGTTGTTGTTGTTGTTGTTGTTGTTGTTGTTGTTGTTGTTGTTGTTGTTGTTGTTGTTGTTGTTGTTGTTGTTGTTGTTATTGTTATTATTATTATTATTATTATTATTATTATTATTTTAAAGGTCGAAGAGAAAGAGAGAAAAGAAGAGGCAAAATCTAGGATCAAGACAAAGAAACCTCCACAAAAGATCTACAAAGAGGAGGATACGCGCAGAGTTTTACCGATTATAGATACTGAATTGAAGAAAAAGATTGAAAAGGCTGATATTGTAGTAAAGGACAAGAAAGAGGGTATTAAGAAAGAACGCAGGGTAATTACGAGAATTTACGTTTGTATGCTAGCGATATAGAGTTGACGAGTAATTGTTAAAAAAAAAAAATTGATTGTTGCTTACGTATTGCATTAGGTGAAGAAGGAGAAGAGCATCGAGGAGAAGGATGAGCTTGATGTATTGATCGAAAGTAATGCCAAATCGCTTGATGACAGATTAGGCTCTTCTCCAGATAAAAAGGGTAAAAAGGGTAAGTAAATAATGGAATATGAGAGAGAGAAAAAAATTTTATCATTTCACAGGAATTATATACTTGCAATGTCCTTGTTTCTTATTAATGTAGCGGGATTGAAGCAATCAAAATTACCATTCAAACCAGTGAAAAAAGGCAAGAAGGATATAGATAAGGAATTCGATAGTAACAGTGATGTAGAGATCAACTTTGAATCTCTTTCACCCCCTCCACCGCCTAGAACACCACGACGAGCTGCTGCAGGTATGATTTATATATATATATATATATATATATATATATATATATATATATATATATATATAAATAAAGATACGAAAAATGTGTCGATCGTTAATATATTGATAAATTTTATTTTCTTGCAGTTAAAAAGAAATATACTCTTAGTAGTGATGAGTCGGATAGTAGCGAAGCTGAACTTCACAGTCTTGGTTCGGATACTGAAAAGTACGTTCGTTCCCATCAATCCATGACGTAAAATCGTCAATATTTTTCAGGCAGTTGAAATTCGACTTCCCAATTTTATCTTTTTTATTCATATGCAATATTCGAATCATTCTTATTTGACCTTTGTTAATTTGTTTCAGACCTGTAACGAAAGTCGCTGACTGTATGGATAGCGATTCCGACGATGAATTCAAAATTAAAAAGGAGTCACCCGAAGCGAAACGTAAGATAACCGATTTATTTCTAATGCCATTATGGAATTAAAAGATAATTTACACTTAACTCACCTACGGCTTATTTAACAGCAAGCTCCGAAGAATTATTCGACTCTCTAGTTTCCAACTCACCCGACAAACAAATGGATAAATTACACAAACCTCGCATCTTTATAAGCTCACCCGACGATTCGCCAATTAAAGTTACTCCCAAGAAAGGTAATAAATAGCTCTAACATATTGTCGATCGAATTGAAATTGTAATCGTAAAATTCTTACGATTAAGAATTATTGGAAAATTGATCTCTAAGAGTAAGCTTGGGCATGAAAGTCTAATTACGTCATACTATCGTGCAATTCGATTTCTTTAAGTATAATGCGAATGTAAATTTTCAGCGTCTTCTAAGAAGAAGGCCGAGAACGGCGAAGGCAAGCTAGCGAAACGACCATCGAAGAAAAAGGCAAGTAAATCATCGGAATCGGACTCGGATGAAATGTTCTCCATGAAAATATTCCCGGTAAGTGTGCGTTTGTTTGATTAATTCATGATAGCGCGATTCCTTAGGTGCTTCGATTAAATGATTAAGGCATCGATTGAAAAATTGATTTTTCACCCGACAATAGGCATTTTGTAGAAAAAAATATCGGGCAGCTCTTAGAGATTGAAATACCGCTCGAATGCTCTGTGTGTGCGTGCGTGCGTGTGTGTGCGTGCGCGCGCGCGCGCGCATAATATCCCCCGATATAGTTTTGACGTTCATGAAGTTTTCCTTGCCGGCTTTGCCCTTGCCGTCCATTATTATTATGACTATCGGGACGTATAATAAAAAGAAAAAAAGATAGAAAGAAAATTTGCTCTAAATATGTAACATTAACATTGCCATTTTATTGGTAAATGTACGTAGGTAAAGAAGAAGAAGAAAAAGAACGATGATTCGGACGAGGTTCAGTTGGTCGAGGACTCGCCACCGCCAAGAAAGCCAGTGGGCCGTTCCAGGAAGCCAATTTCTTATGCAATAAAATCCGACGACGAATCGGATTAAGCCCCATGTACAATAACAATGAGGGTTGATAAAAATTCAGCATTGCGCTAGAAATGAACTTTTTGAAATTGTGACGCTGAGGACGCCGACGCCACCGCCGCAATTACGGTCCTCTTATCAATTAATGATACTCACTCGTTGTGCGACAATCGTCGCCAGGGTTACTCGTAATTTTATATTATATTGTTCTGTACATACATGTATTTGTACATACGGGTAAAGAAGTAAATCGCGCGTTTTTTCACGCGATTCGATGCTTCTTGCTCAAGGAATATCAATGCTATTGCTGAAAGAACACGAGAATTACTTTTTTGCACATCAATATCGATGATTTTGAATAATAATAATAATTATCTCATGTGTCCTACGAGCGATTTGCGCGGTAATCCTAACGTGTGCTAGCGAATATTCTTAATAATGATTATATATATATATATATATATATATATATATATATATATATATATATATATAAAGAAAAAAAAAAGAAAAAAAAAGGTAAATTTATATTTACAGATTTAACAAATAATTAGGTGAGCGTTAGTAGATAATGAAATTCTGTCAAATTTTTTCTATCACTTTTTTTTTCCTCCAAATGTGTAAAATAATTGCGAGTTCAACTGAAAATTACTAGAGATGTCAATTGAAATGTCAAGTCGTTGATAGTAATTATTTCACGTATTAGGCACTTAATTTATAAAAAGAAAAAAAGAAAAAAGAAAAACGAAAAATTAAATTATAAACAATTTTTTTTTGTTTGATAATAAAAAAAAAAAAAGAAAAAGAAAAATTAGCTTCTCTAGAAAGTACAAAAAATATTATAGTAGGTATGTAACGATTTTTTTTTTTTTTTTTTTTTTTTTTTTTTTTTTTTTTATTTCACTTATATATATAAATATTTATTTTTACTTATGGATAATAAATAAATAAAAAATAAAAAAAAAAAATAAAAAAAAAAATAAAAAAAAAAATTATTATTCCATCAATGTTTAATCTATTATAACCAGAGCGTTTGTTACATTCGTGCATAATCCATGCATTTTATAAATTAACAATAATGCTTCTTAAAATGAAATATCCAGTGAACGAATGAATGATAAACTACTTCGGATATTTACTGTACTACACGACTTGTATTTAGTTATTGTATTGTTCCATTTACTTACTTATAGTTGCAAATACTTATAACCTCATTTTTATATACATTATATTTATCTTGACTTTCGTGATGACTATGAGGATTGTAGAATTTTTTTTTTCTTCCTTCCTTTCTTTCTTTCTTTTAATCAAATAAAAATAATGGCTATCGTAATAACAATGGTTGTTTAAATTATGTACCAATGCTTTAAATATATAAGTAATACACTTAATTATAGTTTTAAAATACATGAGCGACTTATTTATTTTACCATCCCTTATAATCCAAAAGAAATCTTATCTCCGCATTTATTAATGACCGATAATGACCATCGAATACGCTCCTCCAATAAATAATAAAGAATAATGTTTATGCCCTCTGTGGGTTAATGCAGCGGGTTGCCTATTCAGCGACCAAATGTCAAATGAATCATTGCTTAATTAAAAATAATGTGGTAAGACTATTTTGTACTCGAGGGAAATAATTCTCATGAAATTTATTGGGCCAAGCAACGATGATACGCAAGTTGTTTTACGATCAAAATATTATTCCTATTATAGTTTTCATGGGAATGAATTAAATGCGACAAGGATAGATTGTACACGCGTGACCACATAACTCGGAAAAAACATGTGCACAGGTATTGGCGAGACAAGTGAACGTTAATCGTGGTGGTCTTGATGGTCGTCTGCATGTCACGAATGCAAATCCAATTCTCAATAAAGTCATTGAGTAAAATTTCTTTGCAACAAGGCATTTAATGCTCGATGCGATGTTGTAAAATTTTTTTATTTTTTTTTATTTTTGGGCCACGAATGTGTATCTTAATATATGTCAATGTCGAAATAATGCCAACGATTATTAATCGTGACTTTTAAGTTGGCCAAAAAATATCACTCGGCGACGATTTGAATGCTTGGCGATAGTTATTAAACAATGCGCTAAGACAATAATTGACTTGAAATAAATAGCGCGCGATCCAATTAAAAATCCACAAATGATACATAAGCTGCAAAGTACAAGATATTCAGTTGAACTTGTATCCAAAATTAAAAACAACAACAACAACAACAACAACAACAACATTTATAATTCATCAGCCCTTTCGAGGGCGAGCAATAAACATTGTATGTGTCTTAAAAATAAATAAATAAACGAATAAGTAAGTTTTTTTTTTTTATTCCGTTCGTTTTATATTTATTTCTAGTGGAAATTTTGCCCTATATCGTCTATCAATATTTAACATTTATTATTAATTTATCTGATATTTACATAATTTATTTAAATAAAATAATAAAATAAAAAATAAATAAATAAAAGGGAGAAAAGAGAAAAAAAGCGATGGAAAAGTTTGTATCTGGGAATCGCTTGTAAATAAGATAAAAGTGAAATATATCTGTGCCGAATTATCTACTCATTGTAATCATTGATAAAATTAGATAATCATTAGAACACATAATGAAGTATTATGGTTATCGAACTCATTCTCAAAACACGATTCGTAATAATAATTTTGCAATAGTAGATTGGCAGGAAAGTTCAATACTCCAAATGCAAAATGGATCGATTAGTAATTAAAATATTGGACGAACAACATCATCTACGATATCAATGTCTGCGGGAAATCTATTTCAGCTATCGTTTGAATTCTTCTATTTTACATGACGACTACATTACATAAATGCGCCTCACAGGATCGGGCTTCTTAATAATAATAATCGAAAGTACACACAATGTACAAATGTGTATAGTATGCGCGAAAAGGTAAAATATGGTAGTTAATGCGTTAATACGTTAATAGTTATCTTTAACGCGGGACAATTTTATATAATCGTCGTGCCAAGCCTCATGCCATCGATGCCTCTTTATGCAATACAGAGTTGCGAGTGTCTCGTTGTTGTTGTTGTTGTTGTTGTTGTTGTTGTTGTTGTTGTTGTTGTTGTTGTTGTTGTTGTTGTTGTTGTTGTGAAACGCAAAGGAGGACGATGCGCTGGACACTCGATACTTTGACTCTTCGAACTAATCACACTGGATTTGTGACTTTCCGCTTGTATTGGGAATTGTTCGATCGATCGATCGATCGATCATCAATCTCATTAGCTTCTAAAGAGCATTTAATCGAATTTTGTATAATTCAATGTGGAAAGGACGCAAACGAGAAACCTCTTTTGTCCTCGTATACGCGCGGAAGCTACAAGATTCAGAACCCGACCGTTTATTTTTAATGGCCGAATGCAATGTTCAAAGCCATCCGACGTTCCGAGGAATTTACGGTTCAGACTGTCCCCCCTGACGCGTCGTCCAATGATCCATTAAAAAAAAAAAAAAAAAAAATCCTCGGCAACATTTGGACGAAGGACATGCAGCTAAGCTTCTGCCACTCGTACACAAAATACAAATGCGACATCAACTTGTCAAAACAGCTTCGTTAACTTTTCGCGTTATTAGAAAGCCGCCGCAATTAAGCTCTAATTAAACGATGTACCTCGGCTCGTTATTAATCCGATGAATAATTGTACCACGCAAGCGCGAATCAACGCGATGAAGGGGGATCATCGTACGCGACATTAGCTGTAACTTTTAAATAACAATTGCCAAAAGTGTTCACCTCCTCTCGGCGAGCTTCCATCCTTGGCATTTGAGTGACTCGTGTTTCTAACAACTTCTTCGCTCCACGCCATTTACCCAACGACGTAAGAGGAATTAAAAAAATAACGAGAGAGAGAGAGAGAGAGAGAGAGAGAGCGGAATAATATATAGAAATGCGTAATGTTAGTGAAACTCGAATCTCATTGCTAATGTGGACACGGTCTACATGAGATGGAAGCAGCACTTTTTATAACGTCAATCGAGAATTATGAATATTTTACGTATATTACAAGTCAATTAAGCTATTGGCAATGAAAGAGAAAACAAAGTGTACAAGCGAAACCGCCAAGCACCACGAGTCACTTATATAAATACATGAATTGTGAAAGTTTATGAGGCAAATTCTTGCACCTGCTCATAAAGTCCACATTTTTCATTCTCGAAACAAACAAACAAACAAACAAACAAACAAACAAACAAACAAACAAACAAACAAACAAACAAACAAACAAACAAACAAACAAACAAACAAACAAACAAACAAACAAACAAACAAACAAACAAACAAACAAACAAACAAACAAACAAACAAACAAACAAACAAACAAACAAACAAACAAACAAACAAACAAACAAACAAACAAACAAACAAACAAACAAACAAACAAACAAACAAACAAAGAATACTATGCACATTTTTTTTAAATAGAAACTTATAAAAATTAAACTATATAAATTTGAATTAATAAGTAAGATTAGTCATTTTCTTTTCAATTTCATGGCAATATATATATAAGCGATTCCATTTATGTAAATAAACAATTTACAATACTATACTATTTTAAACATTGCTATCTTTTTTTTAATTCTTATCGAATTTCTGATTTTCTCTTTTAGGAAAGACTAATTATCAACTTATATATGTAGATATATATATATATACATGTAACAAATGTGCGATAGTCTTATTATAAGAATCTTTCACGTCTTAAATGGTATAATTTTGTTTTTAATTTTTGATTTAATTTTCCTTCTTTACTTCTCGAGGCGATTAGAAATTAAATGAAAATTAATTATTAATTTAGTCACCAAGTAAAAATAGTAATTCATTGTTCATTGCTTCGTGAGACAAAGTCAATTAGAATCACACACGTATTTCTTCGATAAGTCTCAATTATATATGAATGCCGTTTTATATACTTTTTCTACTATACAACCAAATATGTACATTTATTAAACTGTATACACATATGCGTATATATATATATATATATATATATATATATATATATATATATATATATATATATATATATATATATATATATATATATATATATATATATATATATATATATATATATATATATATATATATATATATATATATTGTATATACATATATGTGTGTGTGTACCTTTAAACATACATACATACATACATACATGCATGCATGCATACGCGTGTGCGTGTTTGTTCTACAAAGTGAGCAATTGTTAGAACAATACATTATTTCATCTACGGGAAACTAGTAAGATCCTATTTTCCAAAATTTTATTGCTTTATTACAGATATGCTAGAAAGACATTGTTGAACAATACGAAAAAATACTGTACAGTGATATTCAAAGTAAACTTAAAAATACGTATTTCTTAAAAAAAAACATCGAGCATGTTCTTTATTTACATAATCCTTTATGGAAAAAAAAATGAAAAAAAAAAAAGTCATAAAATAAATAAATAATAAAATAAAGATGAAAAAAAAAAAAATTATTAAAAAGCATTCTTTTCCAATAATTATAAAGTATACACCATATATTACTGTACAATATTTTTTTATAGATCTGAATCTTAATCGCATTATTGAATGCAAAATATGGAACGTTGTTTGCCTTATTATTTGTTGTCATTTTACATTTGTGTATACAAACACGCGCATATGTATGCATATATATATATATATATATATATATATATATATATACACATACAAACGCGCGCGCGCGCGCGCGCGCGTTCACACACACACACACAATATATATATATATATATATATGTGTGTGTGTGTGTATACATTTGTATGCATATTTTTTTTATATAATATAAAGATGGGACAAGGATTGAGGATCGGTGTTGGCATTTTTCGAGTATAATCGACGGATGTAATAGTAGACACTGTTCAGACTTGTATGTATTCTCCTCTGTCCACACTTTTTTTGCCAATCACGTTGGTAAATTGAGACATCGACGTCGTGCCCACAATATTGTACCAACAACTTACAATACTTTTTTTTAACAAGTTCTTTTACTCTCTCGCATACACTTTTTCGCTCTTTCGCTCTATCGATAATCTCATTCATACATGTAACTCTTTCGCTCGCATTTTATTTCACACAAACGTTCTCTTGTTCTCTTGATTTTTATTCTTCATCTTTCTCTAGTACTCCCATAAGCTGCGATTTGTCAACAGACGCGACTATAATACAAAGCAAGGGCACTTGATAAAATAACTTAGTCTTCTATTTCATAATTATCTATGTATAACGTACATATATAAAACAAATTATGAGTAAAGAAACTATTAATGATCAGGTCGGTATAATTATTATGATGCTTAACTTCCCTTATCTTTTTTTTTTTCATTCTTTCATTTTCTTTCACTTAGTTTTCCCTATCAGCTTTAAAAAGAAAAAAAAAAAAAATTAAAAAAAAAAAAAATTAATTTCGATTCGCCTGATTATTACGAGTCAGTAGTGTTGTGTTCTTTCCTTTTCTTTTCTTAGCTTGCTTTAGCACGAAAAAATGACTATAATAATAATAATAATAATGGTAAGTGGAGTTCATGCTTTGAAAGAGCGATACGACGGAGCCCCGGGACAAAAAATTATCCTACGTGTTTTTTTTTATTTTATTTTATTATTTATTATTTTTTTTTTTTTTTATTCGAATGTTAAAATTTGAGTGGAGAAATTAGGCGGATGGAGCACGATCCTAGTAAATTTGTTACGTCGTTTTTATTTTTATTTTTATTATTCCATCATCATCCTCGTTATCTTCACTTTTTTAATTTTATACTCGTGTGTGTAATTGTTGCTGGTTTCTGTCGTTCGTTTCTCACGTCTCACGTTTTCGGGAGTATTTCCAGAAAAAACTTGACTCGGCACTTCTCACCCTCGTTTCACAATTTTATAGTCGATCCAGTTTAGCCTTAGGAACAACTAACCAAATCTTCCTTTACATTATGTGTCTCTGGCTGTGGATGTGTGCGCGTGTCGCGCGTGTATGTGTGCGTGTACGCGCATGTATTTGTGTACGGACTGTGGGTATAGTGTGCTGATAGAATGTGGTGTATTGTAATATGCACAATGTATTTATGACGCGTGTTAATTGTATTTTCATTAATTATTCACGATATAAGTAATTAATTATTAATATTTGAATAAAGTAACATGATGTGCGGGTCAAATATTCATGGAATACCTGGCGCTGCACGACCGTCATGCGAGGATAGAGCCACCACACACAGTTTTTTTTTTCTTCTCTTTCTCTGTCAATGCGGTCTTTCTTTTTTCTGTCTTTGTTTCATTACTTCGTTATTTTACACTATATATATATTATAGCAGATTTATTTGTATAGATATATATATAGTATAAATATTTACATACACGCTAGTTTTCTTTTTTTCGTTTTTTTTTTTTTTTTTTTTTTTCATTAACAATCGTTTAATCATCGCATTCATTCACGCATCGTTATTTTTCCCTTCGCAAATATGTCGGATTAGAGAGGAGGAACATCCCGAAAAAGCAAGTCTTTTCTTCCACTCGACGCAAAGTTGCCCCGGAGTTTTTATCCTTCGTTGCTCTCATTCATTTCTATATCATTTTTATTTATCAAATTTGTTCGCTCTCTCATTCTCTCCCTATCCCTCCCTCACTTTCGCACTGTTTTCCCCTATTCATCACCGAGTAATTTCACTTCCACTGGATTCCATTTATGTCATCTCATTTTTACCTCGAATTTTCTCACCTTAGTCTATCTAAACTCCACTCTTTTCCTCATTTAATTCACAATGACTTATCACATGTTTATCTGTTTCTCTCGATTTATCATTTTTTTCTTTCTTTCTTTCTCTTTTTTTTTTTTGTTTTTTTTTGTTTTTTTTTTGTATAACACTATTATCAGTCAACTCACTGTTTTTCTCGATACAAGGAACGATAATACAATTGAATATTTACGAACACAACATTTTGCTTTCTGTTATGCTTGAATAAATGATTCGACAGCGGCTCCTTGGCATTTCAAGATGACGCAAGTTCGTCTATGTGTTTGTGTGTGTGCGTGCGTGCGTGTGTGTGTGTGTGTGCGCGCGCGCGCGCGCGTGTGTATCATTAACTTTCTCCAAGACACAGAGAGAGAGAGAGATGCTCGTTAGTATTATAATCGCGTTGCGTCCTTCTTCTCATTCCTCGGAGCCACTGTTGCATTCTCTTTTCTACGGTTCTGTGGCGGTGGCGGCGAATCTTCCGATTTTTCTCTCTGCTATCCCTCCCTGCCCATTATTAAATATTTACAATTGGTTATAGCTTTCGTTTACGTTCGCATTCTCTGCCCTCTTCCTCGTGTTAAGATAAGGTGGTATTGCGCAGTTCTGAGTTATTCCAACATTTGGCATGTACATAAGTTTTCCTCGAGGGTCCATTATTGTTGTCACTACTCATCAACCACAACTACGAACTGCTAGACGCGTTCATGCCGCTGAACATGCCGGTGGTGAAAGAGGTTTGCTGCTGTTGCTGAATCTGCTGTTGCTGCTGTTGCTGCTGCTGCTGCTGGCTGTTCGCCTGGCGTCCGTGTTTCGGCACAGGAGGCTGGAGATACTCGTGCCGTGCAAGCGTCAACACGTCGATGCGCTCCTCTTTCCTATACGCTAGACAGCTCCTTATGAAACTCTGGAAGGCAAATTTTTATCTTTCATTAATCGCCCAACTCGCTTTACGCTTTATCAATAATTATTATCGTAGGTTTAAATTATTTAATAATCGTCGATCGAGCCATTGATAATAATAGGAGATAGTAGAAGGGGAGCTAGAGTCGCTTGTAAGGCGTTTTACATTATCCCAATGAGTATTGCTATAATAATAATAATAATAATTATTATTATTATTATTATTATTATTATTATTATTATTATCTCAGAAATCAATCGAGTAATTCGTTCGTTCTTTTTGGTCACAATTGACATGTGAATCTATACGAGAACATGAAATTAGGGAGATATTATTAATATACGTACTTTCGCTTCGTTGCTAACAGTCGGTTTATTAGCGAACTGAACTTCCGTTGCTTTTAGAATTGTATTTTCTTCTAAAATTGTTGCTTGCGACTGATTATGTCCAAAAGGCTGTTGGAAAAGATAATCGTTATTAAACTATCGCTATATTTGTATTTGTCAAAATGTAAAAAAGTTTGTAGCTTTTCACTACCTTTTTGCCATATAGACATTGGTAAAAAATGACTCCCACACTCCAAACATCCACTTTTGAAGATATTTTTGGAGGATTTTTTCCAACTACAAAACACTCAGGCGGCAGGTACCTAAAATCATAAAATAAAACATATATAATAATAAAAAAAATAAATAATAATAATAATAATAATAATAATAATAATAATAATAATAATACTAATATCAAGGTTCGATTTAACAATTAGGCGAGCCCTATTGAAATAAATTAAGAGGTCGACGAGAGAGAAACATACCAGTAAGTACCAGCTCCCTGTGACGTCAGATCCATTCCATGATCTGGATTGTAGTTTTCTTCATCCATGACTTTGCTCAATCCAAAGTCCGTAATCTTTATTTCGCCGCATACGTTTCCTTCCGTTAAAAGGATATTTCCTGTTAAAATCGACGCAAAAAATAAATAAAAGCAATTAGTTGAATGGTACGCTTAATGACGATCATCAGCGATTAATTATCGAATGACAAAGTGAAATCAAGCATTCAATTTAATGTACCTGGCTTCAGATCATAATGTATGACTGGGGGTTTAATTTCATTGAGGTACTTTAACGCCGATACGACTTGCATTACGATTGATCTAGCCTCTCTCTCTGGAATAGTCTTATGCTGAAACGAATGAGATAAGAAAATGATAATGTCCGGGGCAAACAAGCAAAAGCTTTGCGTACGTACAAAATGCGTAAAAATAATGTGCAAATATTTACCTGCTTGAGATAGAAATCTAAATCATGGCCGTCGCAATATTCCAAGACAGTACAAAACGAATTCGCATCAATTTCAAAGACATCGTACAGTTTTACAACCCGTGGATGATCCAATGCTTTGTGAATGTTGTACTCCCGTAACGCGTGTCTGCGTGAAAGGATATAGAAAAGTACAAACAATTAGTGACCGCAACAAGCAGCTTCCAACCCTCCCCTCTCACCCATCCAATAACGGCCAAATTAAACTAAGGCCGAAGCCCCGAACAATAATATACGTATATAGACTTACTTTATGTAATTGGCTTTTTTGTCTTCTTTCCAGTCTTTATTTAATTGGTGAACTTTACATGCCACGTATCGCTGCTCCTTTAAGTCAAATGCCTAGAACGAAAAACAAAACAGACGGCCCGTTAATTTTCAAGCAAGATTCATGCTCCTAAGATCTAATGAATCTGAATTTCCTAAATCCATGCAGTTGCAAATTCGCTCATCTAAACGCGTTTAGAGAATTGCCAAATGTTACATTCGCTCATCTTCACGCACCAGCATCCCCAACCCCCCCAAACCCCCAACCCCCGAAGAGTCGGTTATATTACAGATTTTACAACTCACCTTATGTACCTCGCTGAAGCCGCCTTTGCCGAGCAGCATCAGCAGGAGATATCGCTCGTTGAGCACTGGATGAGAATTGAATCTCGATTGGTCCTCGTTGTGAATGCGCTTGAGCTCCCTGATGTGCAGATTCCGCTCCCTTTCCAGTTTTTCCATTTCAAGCTGCAGGTCCGCGTCCTCCTTCTTGAGGGCGCTCTGCCGTAGCTTCAAGATCTCGTCGGCTTCGTAGTACTCCTGCCACGTGTAGGAACCCGGCACGGCGTCGGGCTTAAGGAACGTGGCCTCGGTGCCGTTGTGCAGTGACGTCGGCTGCGCCGGCTGACTGCTTCGCTTCCTCCCTGGGACATTTTTATTAAAAGCTCACTTTATTTCATCGGTCGGGCGTTAATCTTTAAACTTAAGCGCGTTGGAACTTTGTCACGAGTGATCGTAACGAGGAAGGAAAGCCTTCGACTAGACTATGTTGTCACTGTCGCTGCTGGGTACTGTGTAATGAATGTAACCATGTAATGGGAATGCAGCGCGCGCTTCCGTAATTCCAAAACATACGCGGATAAGGCAATGTGACTTTGATGTTAATGAATAAGAATTACCAACGAATGAATATAAGGAATAATACGAGGAGAAATAGGACGGGAGGTGTGTAAACGAGCTCCGCACGTCAATTATTTTATTTTTGTTTTTGATTCGAATAGAAATTACGTACAAAGCATGGAATAAATTGACACTCTGTCGTTATGGTTTATGGCTACGTAAATGATATTAGCGGTGAGCCTCTATAGAATCAAATATCTCTCGAAAAGTTCGTTTCGAATGATTCGTTCGTTGAGTAGGCTTCGGGTTTGATAATACACCTATTGTAGCGTATGACGAAGATTTGCGAAATTATATATATCCTTGTTCGGCGGCAAACCCTTCGCACCTCATTCAGTTCATTGAAAGTAAAAGAAGATGGGCAGAGCCACAAGGTAAAATATGAGAAATGTGTGTATGTGAGAGTGGTAGTGGTAGGTAGTGAAAACTAACCTGTCTCGCTGTTCGACGGCCTCTTCTTCAGCAGAAGCTTCTTTTGCCTGTCGATCTCCTCGCGCTCCGTCGTGATTTCCTCCTGGCGTCTGGCGAGCTCCTGGAAGGCGTAGCCATCCGTCCAGTTCTCCTGAAAGGTAGCGCCCACCCTCTGCGTGACAAACTGCCCGAGCCTCAGTCGGTTCTGCATGCACTTTTGTCGAGCCTCCTTCTTCTCGATGTTTGACTTCTCTTTCAAGAGCTTCTTTACAACGTCTATACACTTATTTATATGGGATTTGTGCTGCTCTATCACCTTCTGCTGACTCGTTATCTGATGCCTCAGCTCCTCAGCCGTCTGCAATGACGAAACATAATTCGGCCTTAGCTCGGTGATTCCTCCTACCCTTCGTTAGCCTGCATTTCACATTTAACATTTTGCTATCGTTACGCATTAGCGTACGCAGAGTCATTGGATAGGCTTTATTTATAAGCTATAGTTACCCAATTTGTTGAGCGCGTTGGATAACAAATTGAAAATTACATATTTTTTCTTTCTTTCTCGTGAAACATGGTGCCCAGACATCTCTAAATATTCGTGTGTCGCGCTAAAATCGAAAGTCCTTTAACGGCCGCCCTTTAACGCGCCAACTCTGTTTGTATTTCGTATTCGTTATGGAGGCTTATGGACTGAGTGGTTAATCACTGCGCGTATTCGTTTAATCGATGATAACTCATTTTATCGGCTCCTAAATTTTACGCACTTCTCATTAACAAATTATTTTTATTCTTTCGGCACCTATCGACTTACATAAAAAATGTGCAACACAATATTACATCTTTATTTTTGGCTCGTATCGAGCACTATACATCCACTACAATAAGAATCAGAATAATAATAATAATAATAATAATAATAATAATAATAATAATAATAATAATAATAATAATAATAATAATAATAATAATAATAACAACAACAACAACAACAACAACAATAACAATAATAATAACAATAACAATAATAATAACA